AATGGTTGAGGAAAGTAAATGAAGTAATGCTTAATACATCTTTAGCACTCGTCAGAAGTGTTCAACGCCTGGTAACTTTGAGCTATTTTTATGAATTCTTGCAGGTTGAAGGTTCAGCTTTGAGAACTGTGCTGTTAACGGGGGATTACTCAAAACCCTAGCAGGAAATCTGCACTAGAACGGAGGAGTTCCACTTAATAGCCATTCACTGAGTGTGTGCTGAATTCAGAGACCATGCTAGGCAGTGTGGGACGCCAGGAGCGTGTGGCTCTCAGTGCAAGCATATTCAATGCCTTAGTCCCTGCAAGTGAGAGAGTATTAGAGTAGCTGTTCTGGAGAGGTGGAGAGATGGGTCACAAAAAATACACCAAATTCCATTAGGTGGAAGAGGAGAAAAATGACACTCCAGTCATAAGTAATGAGTTATACATGGAAGCCTGGAGTCAGGGTGTACATTAAGAAAGCTGGGGAGAGGTCTGTAGAAATAGAATATGGAAACTCTTCAAGAAGATTTAAGGAATAGAAAGTTTTGAAATAGAGATGCATGTTATTTACTTTTGAGTATCTTAGATCCCGTTCTGTGGATTGTGGACGTTAGTATTGGGTTGCTAGTAGGGAGAGGTACTGAGCTTTATATAAAGATAGCTGCATTTTAGAAAAATCTAATGGCAAGAATGTGAATGAGGAGGAGATGAGGGATACCACTTAGTTTATTTTCTTGTGCTAAAGCACCATAAGGAATAATTCATGAATGATAGAACTGGTTTGACTCTGGAAGCTGGGGTTCTGGAAGGGCCATCTCATGGCAGGAGGTGGCAGCGCCAGTAAGCAGAAAGTTAGAGATGGGGCAGGAAAGGACTAAACCTACTCTGGACCCACTCGGGTGTTCGCCCATCCCTACCTGCTGCTCCCACCCTGCGCCATGTTGGTCCATTTATGAAGGCACTGATTAAGGTTTTGAAGATTTATTTATTTATTATCAGCAAGTTGGATTTACAAAGAGAAAGCTCTTTCACCCACGGGTTCACTCCCCAAGCAGCCACCATGGCCAGAGCTGAGCTGATCTGAAGGCAGGAGTTAGGAGCTTCTTCCAGGTTTCCCACGCGGTACAGGGTACCAAGGCCTTGGGCTGTCCTGCACTGCTTTCCCAGGCCACAAGCAGGGAGCTGGATGGGAAGTGAAGCAGCTGGGACATGAACTGGCACCCACATGGGATTTCGATGCATGCAAGGTTTGAGTTTTTAGCTGCTAGGCTACTGCGTCTGGGACCACTAATCATGTCTTATGGGTCACACCTCTTAACCCTGTACACTGGCCAATAGATTTTAATGTAAGTTTTGCCAGGGGTGTTTGAACCATAGCAAAGTCTCTTGGAATAACCCAGGTAAGAGACTCCAAGGACCTGAACCAGGAATCACTCATTTTCATGTAGAAGAGATGGGGCTGAGAGACTAGGAAATGATGGTGCTGCTAGTGATGGCAACAGTGGAGGTTGGGAGGAAAGGTGGCCTGGAGACAGCTCAGGAGGAGACACCCTGGCAGCAGGTGGGTGGGCCACAGGAGCAGCCTGGAAGCAGGCAGAGGACCTCTGACCAGAGGCCTGAGGCCAGGAACAGCAGGAGATGGACAGTGAGGTGAAGGTTTGTATAGCAAGGTAGGAAGCAGTGATGGAGATCGGAAATGGACTAGCAGAAAAACACTGGCGTGCCATCAGAGGGGAGGAAGAGGGGATTTTCAGGAATAATGCAGATGACCACCAGTATCTGAAGAGCAAAAGGAGCATGATATCTGGCTTAGGGATGTGGATGCTGGAGCAGCAGGGTCTATGGACGCACGGATGAGGAAATCCCATGGGTAGGTTGATCACTTAGAGTCAGAGCCATGTGACGTGGGATGCATTTCCTCCGGGTTGGGATGTTTGGCCTATGTTTTGGACTTTGGCGTGACTCCCTCCACAGCTGGTCTTCAGCTTGGAAGCACCATATGGCTTCACGTGCCAGCTGTTCCACTTTAATTCCGCTTCCTGCTGATGTGTCTGGGAAAAGCAGCAGAAGATGGTTCAAGTGCTCGGGTTCCCTGTATCCCTGTAGGCGACCCAGACGAAGCTCCTGTTTCCTGGCTTCAGCCTGTCCCAGACCTTGGCCGCTTTGGCCCTCTGCGGGATGGGTGAACCAGCCGATGTTAGATTGCTCTTTCTGTTTCTGTGTTGTTCTCAAACACATGAATGTATCCTTGAAAAGTATACTCAGAGAGTGCAGAAGTGGGGCAGGTTGTGGTCTGAAGACTGGGGAGCTGTGTTCTTACGAAGGTGAGGGGCAGAGGACGGTTACCATAGAAACTTCTCCCCGAAGTTGGGATTTCCCTCTTGGGAAGTGAATTGTCCGATTCTTAATCTTACCTGGGCTTTGGGCTGTGTTGCCTTTCCTGTTTTGTGGTCTGCTGGTTCTTTGGGAAACTTTTTGTTTACACAGGTGTTTCCCCAAAGATTTAACCTAAGTTAGTCATTTCTTAAGGATTTTTGTCTCAGATAAGCTGTCTTGGTGACAATGGATGGGATGTCTATTCACAGATGAACCCTGTGAATCTTACCCCTGGTAAGAACACAGGTAATTTTTAACTTTGGTATCTCAGGATGTAACCTTGTTGTGGGTTTCTTTCCCCCTCGTTGGGCAGCTTCTCAAAAGGCTGGAGAGAGAAGCAGATTTTCAACTTTTATCACTGGGACATCTTCTTTTGTCCTTGCCTGTCTCTTGGCAAGGCGTGGCTTCTCCTACAGAAGCAGGAACAGCCGACTTCCTTTCTCATGAGTTCCTGGAGGAGTAGGGTTGGAGAGAGAATGAACTTGAATGGCCTTTTTGGGGAGTTTCTTCTTGGGCTTTCTAAGATTGATCTGATATTGTTGGAGTGACCCTAGAACTCTGTCTTGTCCTTCCACGTGGCGCCACCTGCTGCTTGCCCAGGTGCGTCAGCCAGGGAGCTGGGTTGGAGGTAAAGCAGTAGGACTTTCGATCTGGTCCCCTTAGGAGATGCCAGTTCCACAGGCAGTGGCTTACCCTGGGCCCAGGTGGAAGATTTGGCTGAAAAGGCTGTGTTTTACATTGCAAATGGGTCTGTAGGGACAGATGACCTCCCTCCTGGCCTGACTCTCATGCAAATGATGCTGTCCCTTCCTGCATAGAGATGGGAGGTGGCCCTACAGGAAGCTTCCCACGCCAGCAGCCTGCAGGGTCCTCGCTTTGCATGCCCGCTGCCTCTTCCCCTTTTTGGCTTTTCCTATCCCTTGCCCTGCCTCTTGCAAGTGTAACCCTCCCTCTTGCGCATCTCCATTCTCTTGAAGCAATATGAACTCCCACTGGAGTTTAACTGCATTCAATTTCTCTTCCCCTTCTTTTCTTCATTTCCTACTCCATTGAAAACCCGAGCTCATATCAAGCAGAGATATTTTTGCAGCTCATAAGCCTTGGTGTAAGTAGATTAGGTACTGCGTACAAGGACACTCCAAATGCTTATGAAAAAATTGAATTAAAGAATGCATTTTTTTTTAAAGACTCATTTATAAGTCTTGAAAGATAGAGCAGGACACACAGTCTGAGTCTTCTGAGTTGGTTGCCCAGATGCCCTCCAAAGCCAAGGCTGAGTCAGGCTGTTGGAACTCACTTCAGTCCAAATGCATGGTCCATCTCCTGCTGCCTTCAGGATCCTTAGCAGGAAGCTGGGTTGGAAGCGGAGGAACTGGGACTCGAACCGGCACTGCTGTTTGGGATGCGTTCCAGAGCGTGTCTTAACTCTGCTGCTCCAAAACACTTGTCCCAAAAGTTTATTTTGGTGTCAGATTTAAAAAAAAAAAAGGAAGAAGAGTATAATCTACGCACATAAGAGATCTTCAAAAATTCTTGAAAAGTGCAACTAGGAAGAAAGCAGCCATGGATTTTAATTTTGGGGAGTGGAGGGCACTGAGTAAACCTGTTTTAAGATTCAACTTTCTAAGGGACCCTCAAGGCATTTGGATTAGGGAGATGTGAAGTATGGGTTGTCTGATCTGTTGATCTTTTTCCTCTGGGGCAGAAAAGCAGGACCAGCTGTAGCTGAACAGGTGATAATAGGCTGTGGGGAGGTACAGGTGCTGGGCTACACTTTTTTTGTGTGTGTGTGCTAAAGTCTTCACCATGAAAACACACCAGGATCCCATATGGTGGCCGGTTCTAATCCCGGCAGTTCCACTTCCCATCCAGCTCCCTGCCTGTGGCCTGGGAAAGCAGGAGAGGACTGCCAAAAGCCTTGGGACCCTGCACCCATGTGGGAGACCTAGGGGAGGTTCCTGGCTCCTGGCTTCAGATCAGCACAGCACCGGCTGTTGCGGTCACTTGGGGAGTGAATCATCAGACTGAAGATCTTCCTCTCTGTCTCTCTTCCACTCTGTATATCTGCCTTTCCAAAAAAAAAAAAAAAAAGATAAATAATACATCTTAGACCACATTAGTCCATTCATGCCTAGGAGGAAAGTGTTTTAAAAACATAGTGGAACCATGTTTGTGAATGCTTTCAAAAGATTATTGTTATTTTTGAGAACAAAAATATTCAGACTGAATGTGGAGGTTTTGATTTTACAGCTTGCGTAAAATGAGCCAGTAGTAATGGGTAAACTCCACTGAGACCTTTAGGTCATAAATTGTTTGCTATAGACCGTTTCTGATGTGTAGCAGATGCTAGTTGGATGGATTGACGAATGGATGGAAATTTAAATGTCTAACTGCCCTACTTGTCCAGTCCCTGGTCCTGTTCCTTTTGACATTGGCACCACTGCTGCCCTCTCCTGGCCAGCTGCAGTATTACGGTGCGGTACACCCATAGCAGGGCCCCTTTTTCCCGTGTGTCCCCAGGCCCTCATCCTAGCTCCCTGAGCTGGCTCCTTTGCACTGGTCTTTAGCCTCCAATCGCTGACTGCCTGCCTTTCCTCCTCCCCTTCCCACCCCACTCCCTCTCTCCATCTGCCCCTGCAGCACTGCCAGTAACTCAAACCGCAGCACGCCAGCCTGCTCCCCGATCCTCCGGAAGCGGTCCCGCTCGCCAACCCCACAGAACCAGGACGGAGACGCCATGGTGGAGAAGGGCTCGGACCACTCATCGGATAAGTCCCCGTCCACCCCGGAGCAGGGTGTGCAGCGTAGCTGCTCCTCCCAGTCCGGCCGCAGTGGGGGAAAGAATTCCAAGGTGAGCTGGGCCCGTCCAGGAAAGCTGGCTTGCAGAGGGGGTGGGAGGGGGAGGGATCAAGAGTAGCTTGCACCGTGCAGTGACCCCAGTGTGCCTGAGATGGTCATTGTCCCACGAGGCCAGGGTGGGGCAGGTGGTAGAGACCCCAACGATTCTGCAGCCACCTTGCTGTCTCCTCTTGGGGGTCTGGAGGCTCCAGATTCCTTCTGAGCTGGGAGATGATGCTTCGTGGTATGGGAGGTGGTCTTTTCTATCTGCTGCCATGCTCAGATTTGGTCCCTAGAACTCGGGTTGAAGGGACAACCAGAATGCTACTTTTAATCTCCCTGCTGCCTTACCATTGCACTAACCCACCTGGCACTCCCCAGGCAGAGGGGACAGTGGCAGGGCCGTTCCCTCCCTCCCAAGCTTGTTGGCATTTCCACCTGAGCAGCCCAGGGACGGGCGTGAAAGAAGCCCACACCCCACCCCACGCCAAGTGATGTGTCTTGGCCCCTCAGTCCTTGGGAAAGCAGGGTATTTCCTTGCCCAGACTGTGCTCAAAGGGTGTGGGAAAGGGCTGGGGCCCCTGGGGAGGCCCACCTGAACTTGTCTCCTGACTTCTTGTTCTTCCTCTTCTTCCCCACCACGTCCCAAACACCTCCTTTGCATGCATGGTCTTAGTGTCACAAGCGCCTCTCAAAAGTAAGCCATCTTTTGTCTCTTTGTATCTCCCCTCTAGTGTGGAACTGTCTGCAGTGCTCCGCATCCCCGCCCTCTGCCCCTGCCTATTCTACCCAGATGTCCTGCTTGGTCCCTCTCCCAGAAGGGCCGGTCCCACTGTCCCCGCCCCCCTGGCAGGCTGGCTTGGAAGTCCACTCAGGGACCATCGCCATGGCACCCCGTGTTGGGGAACAGACGCTAGCCCCTTGGCCCACTCCCGTGTCTGGCTGCTCCCCCTCACACTGCCTGATTCCCTCCTTATGTGGCGCCACGTGGAAGCGGTGTTGGTGTCACCGCCTGGGAGGTGGGAGGCCCCCCACCCCGGCCGACGGGAGGCCTCTCGCCCCTTTGCTCGGTGATTATTTTCTGGCAGTAGTGATTGGAGTAGTGAGGACAGCTGCATTGATGGAGGGGCAAGATGTGAGGTAGCAGGTACAACACCAGCAACATCAGCAGCTCTCCCTACAGGCCCCTTCCCTCTGTGTATGACTCCCCACCCAGAGCTGTGCAGACCCTGCTTCTCACAGCTGGGAGGCTCCATGGCGGCCCCTAGAGGTTGGTCAATGCTGGTGGCAACTCCTCACCGCTGCCAGATCCTGGGGGCAAAGAGACCAGGTCAGGGAGCGGTGTCACCTTCCGCACAGGACCACCCATCCTGACCCCCACATCCAGGCCTGATGGGAAGGGTCCACGATAGGGATTTTAGGGCTGGGGGCTCAGGGAATGAAACCCAAAGGGGAGGGAGGGGAATACAACATGAAGAAAAGCCGAGGGTGACTTAATGACAGTCCGAGTCTCTGACAGTGCCTGGGGAGCGAGCGGGAGGAGGAGGAACTGTTCTCTCTCCTGAGGGATGAACAAGGAGCTACACGGCTAATCCCGCAGGCTGTGACCTTCAGCCTCCCAGCACATCCTGCTGCCGAGGCTTTTAAAATAGCTGGAGCCAGCGCTGGACAGGGGCAGAGGAAGTGGCCTGGGGTGCGGAGGCAGCAGGAAGGTCTTTGAGGTTCAGGTGCTGGCATGTCTGTTGTCTGCCTTCCTTCTGAGCCCTCGTACCTTTGGCCTGGTTGGTGTGGGTGCTGGGAGAGGCACGCAGTCTTCATTGCCTTCTTCCTCCCGTGGCTGGAGTGGTTCCCACTAACTATCAGCCGCAGCTTGGGGTGTGTGTGCTCTGGTTAGCTCGGGGATGAGGCAGGTTTGGCTCTGCCGCAAGGAGGACTGCTTGTAGAATCCTGAGTGATGGGGTCTGTTTGGGGAAGCCAAGCACCTGCCCATCCTCCAGCCACGCCCCCCCAGGCAGTATAGTCTGTCCCATACATGATCTGTGAACCAATCCCGAGTAGTTGTGTGAATTCAGAGACCACAGGCACGTTGGTCCGTGAGAGTAGCCAGGCGCACTGCAAGCAGCAGGTGGACTTCTGATTTCCCATTCAGAAGAGGGAGAGGTCCTAGCACGCACAGGGAGCTGAGTGGGAACCGACAGCTCCTCGCAGCTCCCTCCATAAGCGGTCAAGAGGGGTGACGGAGCAGGCCTAGGTTTCCTTTGCCTTGGAGGCCCCCCAGAATCAGGTGGTACCTGTTTGCGTTAGTCACACCCTCCGGGTTCCCTGGCCTCAGGTGCCTCGCCCCCGTCTGATGTCTGTCATTTGCATCACCACTGACCCAACCACCAGCCTTGGAATGCAGTGAAAATCGGGCCGACTTGCACGAGGACGGGTCCCCAGTTGGTCGCAACTGGAGTACGCTGGTTTGGGGCGAAGATTTGAGAAGGAGGAAGCTGAGAACCAGTGTAGGATGAAGGTTCCACAGAGGCCAGGGTCTCAGGGCATGCTGCAGGGAGAAGGGCAAGCCAGGTACAAAGATGCCCTCGCTCATTGCATGCCTCTCAGCCTGACCACTGTATCCCTAGCGCAGTCAGCATAGCCGGGCCACCTCACCCCCAGTTTCCTGTCTACCTCTTAGAAGAGGTGAGCTTCCAAAGTTTTCCAGGTGAGTTGAAGGGTGCTTTGGCCCTTCGGTGAAATCAGGTTTGATGCGTGCATTGTGTCTGTTCCTTGCTCAGGGCCTCCTCGAAGTGTTGAGTTAGGTGATCTCTCGGGCACCCCTCCCCTGGGTCTGTGGGCTGCTGAGGATGACCCATGCTAAGTGCAGCCTTGCCCAGAGCAGAGCTACAAGGCGCAAATGTCGACTTCCCCTCTGAGACCTGGTCTGTGCCGCCTGTGTCCTCTTTGGTGGTAATGGCCTATGATGGCCACGAGAGGGAGCGTGGGGCCGTGTTCCTGCCTTCACCAGCTGCTGCCAGCGGGTAGTGCCTCCTAGAAGTGGCAGGTCAGCCTGCGCTTGCGCCCTGCCTCCTTCCCGCGTGCGCGGCATTCCCCTCGTGCGGTGGCCCTGGCACACGGTCGACGTTTTTCCCATCATGCCAATTCTAATTCATGATTTTCTTTCCAGTACAACAGACTTAACCTGATCAAAGTAAGACGTTGAGTTTTTCTCCCTTCCTATTGAGTGTAGTGCTGTTCTGGTGTGACTCGGCCTGCCCGTAGTCTCGTCTCCCAGTCTACCTGAGCTTTCGCTTGGGGAGATGTCCTGGGCATGGGGGCTTTAGTCTGTTTCCAGGGGGTCTTGTGTTCCTTCATATGCTTGCTCTCAAAGCCCCTTGTAGGAGAGGCAGTGGCAGCTAGGAACAGACTCTGCTTGGTCCTTGTTCCCCACACCTTCGTCTTTGTCCTGTGTCCACGTTCTTTAGCTAGATGCATCTGTAGGCTGTCAAAGGACTGCCCTGCTGTGCTCCCTAGTTCTGCGCTTGCTTCCCCGGCTCCATCCTCTGGCCAGGGGTGGCGTCACTGTGAAAAGGACAGATATCCTCTCTCTCATGTCAGGGGAGCCCTCTGGAATGTTCTCTTTCCCTGTGAGACTGGGACCCGCACCGAACCTGAACTCTGGCTTAGGAACACCTAGTCACAAGGACCAACATCACCCCTGCAAGGCTGCTGGGCTCCGTGGGGGCTGCGAGGGAGTTGGGAGACCCCAGAAGCACCCTCACTGTTGGCTGAGAAGCTTCCAGGGCTAGCTGGGGAGGAGCCAAACCTCCAAGGGCCTTGCTTTGCCTGGAGTGAGAATACCCACCCCTTACAAAAGAGCATCCTGGAGACACGATAGCCACGTCCTCGCAGAGCTGGTGCCAGGTAGGGTACAGCTTCCCTGCCTGCAGCTCTTGGTGGCCCCGAAGCTCTGTGTTGCAACCAGATTCAGAGAACACCGGGGTCCGTGTAGCAGGCCTCTAACAAGGAAGACCGAGGCCCAGGCCTGCCCGAGACAGGTGTGCCCAGGCTGTCAGCTGCAGATCCCACTGTCGCCCTTTTTGTGAGAGTCTGCCATGAAGGACAGGGCACTGAGATGAGGAGCCAGTGTCACAGGACCGGGACGCCACCTGGTTTGGGTTGCATGAAGCTCCAGGAAGCTGGCCAGATGAGGCTTACAGGGCCCAGAGCAGGAGTGTGTTTTGATGCTCATCAGCCAAGTCGGGTACCCTTAGGGCCAGAGGGTGCAGAGGGAGCCCGAGGCAGCTGGTTGTCCCATCCAGCCTGCTCCACACATGGGCGCCTTAGCCACATTGCTCGGGTATCCAGGGGTCTCTGGATTTGTGCTCTTCAGTTGCTGTGACCCACGGGATCGGAAGAGGGATTAAAACTGTATTGGGGGTCCTCGGCTGGAGTCTTGGCTGAGAATTGACCCTGGAGAGCTGCGGCCACAGGGGGGCTGGGAGTCTTGGCCTACCTTCTGGCCATCCTCCTCTTGGCCTGAGGATAGAGTCACTCAGAGGCAGCTCCCACGCAAGCCTCACTCCACTCCATCCCGAGTAGAGTGGAAGAGCCAGGGGAGGGGGCAGATCTCCAACCACCTGCTCAGCCGTACAGTCATTCCCCCCTGTGGACAGAGATACGTGACCCCAGCAGACATGTTGACCTGTCCTGAGCCTCAGGCCCCTTTCCACTAGGTACGGGGAGAGGATGCAGGGTGCCTGGTATGTGTGGGACTTACACTCCTGGATATACAGTTGAGGTGCTGACAGGCAAGTGATGTTCCCCTCTACCCAGTGATTCTCCTCCATGTCTATCTACCCCTTAGCAAACTTCTCACTGAAAATGCCCCAACCCCATTGCCGTCCACAGGGGAAGGCAGTAAGGACTGCACACAGGCCAGCCACCTGAGCCTTCCCCTACCCACTCTTTCCCATCCAGATCCCATTCTTCCAGGGACTGGGGTATTGGGGAGTGTCTGAATTCTCAGGCTGGGTTGGGGTCTGGGGTTGCTGAGATTAAACAGACCTCATGGGCTGGCTGGAGAGGCCCAACCGCTACCCCACAGCAGACCCCAAGCCACGCTCCAGCTGTTAAACTCAGCTGTCCCACCAGGCATTGGGACAGAAGCAGAAGCCATCTCGCCTGTTAACCAGCAGTTAACCTTGTCCAAGGTTTCAGGCATCACCACAGTGTCCCACACTGCTTAATCCAGAGGGGCTGACTTGGAAAGGAGGCTGTGCTGCCCTCCACTCACACCTTGCTTCTGATCAGGGTCTGTTCGGGGACAACTGGCTTTCAGGTGTCCACAGCACGTCCCTCACCCCCAGCGGATGACCCCTGTGATGGGGTTCCGACTGCCTCCTGGTTGAGCTCTGGCTGGTGCTGCCGCTGCCTGCCTCCCTGACCGCCCTGAGCACAGGGGGCTTCCAGCATGGGCTGCTCTCCCCGGGCCTCCTTTCTGGGCTGTCTTGAGAAAGGAGGCCCCTCCCGAGCAGCCACATGGGAAGTGTTGGGCTGCACTTGGGCTCCTTCTCCCTGCCCCCCACCCTCCGCTGTCTGTGTCCCCTCCCCCTGGAGCCAGGCGTCCTCTGGCCATTTCCAACATCCATTCCTCAACTAACTTTGCTTTCTCTTTTATTTTGTCCTTTTCAGAAAAGCCAGAGTTGGTATAATGTAAGTATTGCTTTCTCTTCTTTGGGGTGGCGTGAGAAGTGCAGGGAGGGTGAAGTGGAAGGGAGGTTTGTTCCTGCAGTGGTTTGTCCTCTGCAGCAGCCTGGGGGTGACTGTGCTGGGATGACATGGCTGTTCCCTTGGTAAAGGAGCAGGCTCTCAGGCTAGGGGGCGTGAGAGAGAGTGAAGTCCAAAGTCGGTTGCAACCCTGCCACTGGGGCAGCCTGGTGTGTGTGAGTGTGTCTGGGGGTGGGCCCTCCAGTTCACCAAGGCCATTGGCAAAAAAAAAAAACCAGATGACCTGGTGTCAATAGGGCAGCTGGCCCGTTTAAGGGATTTGGCATCTGTCCCTGGGTACCTTCTCTCACCCAGCAAATTCCTTCCAGAAAATAGCCGCTGCCCCGTGTGAAGCCCCAGAGGACCGATGCACAGGACACCCCGCGGGCACCTCACACCCACAGCATGTCCACTGGGGACAGCAGACCCTTCACAGGCCACTTGCGCTCATGTAGACTGGGTGGTGGGCCTTGGAGCGTCCTCCTTGGAGAGCAGCTGGATGGAGGCTCTCAGTGGACTCCAGGCCGCGGGGCCGGAGCACAGAAGAGGGCCTGCCCTGTTTGGGATTGGATCATAATCAGCTCCCTCCTCCTCTGACCCCAGATCCTGCTTGGGCAGGTGCCAGGGTTGTGGTACAAGTGCCAGGGAAGGTGGCAGCGCATGACAGAGCTGAGGAGGGCAGAGCAGGGCTGGGCAGTGGGTCCGGATCACCGGTATGGGCTGGGCTGGTCCCGCTAAATCCTGTCACTTCTGACCCCACTCTGATTCTCACAGCCACCCCCTGACCACCACCGTTTTCACTTCCTGTTCCTTTTCCCACACATGAGAGCTGGTGTCTGAGCCCACGGCCCACTGACGGCTGTAGAAAGAGGTGCTGCCTCTTGGGTGGAGGAGGAGGGGAGGCGCTCTGCCCTCTGGTGGCCCGGAGGTCAGGGCGTGAAATGACAGGCAAATGAGAATGACGGTGGAGCTGGGTATGGCTTAGGACCTGGGTTCCTGACTCCCTCTTCAGGAATCCTACCCCTCTCTCTTCTCTTTCCACAAGTACATCATGCACATGTGCCACCAATAGCCCGTGACATACAGCGCTGGTTCTCAAAGGCCCATTGCACAGGGCCGCTGGCTGGGAAGCCTCCAGTGGCTTTCCATGCTCTGGGGTTCATGTTGTTCTTGAAACCCCCCGGTGCTACACACCGTGAGCCACCTGCACAGGTTGGGGTTTCCTGGCAGCCCTGCTTGCTCTGTTGCTCCTGGTGTGTCTGCCCTCCACCATGGGCCTCATGGCTCAGGAGAGCCAACACAACAAGGACAGAAAGAGGAGGTAGAAGTGGCAGGTGGGCATGGTGAAGGAGAGAGAGAGGAGAGAGAGGCAGGTGGCCAGGGGCTTCTAGCTGCTGAGCAGCGGAAGTCAACAGCCTGGCCCTGGAGTGGTGTTGTCGACTGTCTATCATTTTATTCCTTTCTGTGTTTCCTTCATGTATTTTGCACACTCTGGGCAGCAGGTGCACAGGGTCAGCCAATGCACAGAGCTCAGTGGGGTTGTAGCACAGGGGACTGGGCAGCTTGGGAGGGGAGCCCCTGCCTCCTTGCTGAGGTTGGTTCAGATGATGCCAATGCTGGCACGTGTGCACAGAGTGAGACGGTGCCAGTGCACCTCCTCATGGGGACTGGCTTGCATTGGAAGCTGGGCGGGGGTGGTGGACTGTGTTCCTGGCTTTAGCAGGAAGCTGCCACCTGGGTGTTTATTCGAGACGAGACACCCACCTGAGTCAGTGCATGCAGCAGTGGGCCACGACTGCTGGTTTAGCGCCCAGCCCCTGGGGTGGCTGGGTTCTCTCCAGGAGGCCTCCCAGGTGTTGAACTAACTACACCCCTGGGCTCCCACAGGAATCCCCTTGTCTTGCCCCTGCTGCTGTGACCAAGCCTGCGCAGTCCCCCACCTTGGGCCTGAGTTGTCCTGGGTCCCTTTCTGGAGGATCCCTTCCGCCCCTCCTCCTCTCAGCTCAGGAGACATTGGGATAGTCCTCACTCTTGGTCTCCCTTGTGCTAGCTCAGCTCTCCAGCTCTTATGAGACATCACCATGGCACCAGAAGTCCTCTGGATAGGGACAGGTGAAGACTTTTTAATCCCAGTCTGGGAACAGTGAGAAACTCCCCGCCCACCTAAGAGTGTGAGGGCCTGCTGTTTCCCCTGACTCTGATGGGAGTAGAAACCCACCCATCATCTCCCCATGCCCCAGTCTCCTCCTCCATTTATGTGCCCCCACCCTTCGTCTGCTCAAGACAAGAGATCTTATTTTCACTTGGGTCGCCAAAGAGGAGTTGTTACGGTGTGATGACAAGCCACTCGGTCTAAAGAGTGGATCACATGGAGGGGACTCCAGTGTCGTGGGGGGAAGTTACAGAAAGGAGCTTTCAGGATTTGCTGGTCGTGGCATCTCCTGCTGCCCCGAGACTCCACCAGGCCTGGCCATGGCTATTTCCATCGACCCCTCCATTTCATTCTCCTGGGTCTGCAGTCCTGAAGCTGCAGCTCTGGTGCACCTGGAGCCAGAGCCTGGGGAGCGAGAGGGGCACATTCTTCCCCCGCCCCCACGGTGGCCATCTCCTGCCAACTTCCCCAGGGCTGGGCTCTGCCTCTCTGCCTCCCTCTATCTCTTCTCTACCTGTTTCTCTGGGAGTCTTTCCACCCGCCTACCCCGGCAGCCATCCCTTCCCCTGCAGATGTTAGCTCACAGCCAGCCCGGTGCTGACTGTTCCCTCTCCATCTGCACCTGGCTGTGCCCTACCTGTCTCGCTGTCTTTCTCACTTCCCTCATCTCCCCACTGCCCCCTGCCCCACATCGGTCTTGTGCCTACCCAGGCTGGGCTGGTGGGTTTGCAGATCATAATTGGTTTCTTCCTAGGTGGGGTTAATGCTCCAACAAAATCCATCTGTTTTTCTCCCGGGCTCCTCCACACCCTCTCCTTCCTGCTATGTCCGGGAAAGGGGTACCACTTGGTCCCAGCTCCCTGTGTTTGCGGTAGAGTTAATGTTTAGCCCAGGGCCAATTCCCGTGGCTCAGACTCTTGCCCCGCCCTACCCAGCCCTTGGTGAGGGGGTGGGAGAGGCTGGGGTTGGCACACACCGAGAGGCATCACTCTGGCCTTATCTTGGCAGGTGTGTCCTGCTTCTGTTTCACCCTAACTGTCCTCCTGCATGACTGCCCAGAGCTTTCCTGGAATCCCTGAGAGGTCCCAGAGCCTCCTGTACCTGTCTACTGCCTATGCATGACGCGCTGGTCACCCTGGAGAACGGGGCCACTGTGTTGGCCTCTGTGCTGCTAAGGACGGGGTTGTGCTGAGGCCGTATGGGCTGGGACTGGGCTCTGAAAACCGTGCGCAGATGTGTGTGCCTTCAAGGTGTCCATGACAGGGTGGCAAGGCAGATAAAGACATTGGAAATACCTCATGACTCGCTACTGTAGGAGATGGGATAACTGAGGCAGGCATAGATCATTTCTGGAGCAGGTGGTAGTCCAGTAGCATTAGCTACCTGTGTGATAGATGGAGGTGGGAGTTGCATCTGGGAGGGCAGAGGTCATTCGAAAGAGGGGACAAAGGGCTTGTTAGGAGAGGCTTGAGCCAGGAGTCCGACTCTTCTTTGTCCACTTTGGCTACAGTGGGCTGCCCTAAATTAGCATCCCTGGGTAGGGACCCTGGGAACTGACATTTCTTAATGTAGTCATCTGCTCATGTTGAAGGAAATCTCGAGTGTTGTTGAATCAGATCCCTAAGACTCACAGGCCCCCCGAGACCCTCCCAGCCAGGTGGCCCAGGTGGGCAAGGGGAGCTGGCCCATTTTTCTAAGGTCAGCAGTCCACATCTTCCCATGCCCTGTGGGCGCTGCTCTGTCTGCAGCCCTTATGCCTGCCCTTGGCCTGGCTCCCAAGGCCTTCTCTGGATTTGGCGGCTGCCTTCCGATGGACGGGGGTGTGGTGCATGTTCAGCTCCTAACCTTGCTACTTCACCCTCGACATGTGATTAGCTGTCTGGGAATCTAGCTGGCCTTGGGTCCCTTGTGTTGCTGCTGGGATGAGGGTGGGGGAGGGTCCTTGGACCAGGATGGAGTGTCTCATACAGACCCTGCAGCTGTCAAGCTTAGCTTCTCCGGGTGACCACTCAGCCTTTCCCCACCTGGCACGCATGAGGCCGAATCAGTGAACCTCCCAGGTTGGCTGCTGTTGGCCACTGGGGGCCAGGGTCTGGAGACAGTGTCTCCGAGAAGTCCCCGGGCTGTTGGAGTCGTTCAGATTTCATCATCATCACACAGTGCCCTTGGCACCTCCCTGTCCCTTCCCCCACCCAAAGCCCTGGCCAGCAACTTTCCATTGCAGGAAACATCTGGCTGGGGAGGCCTGGCTAGGCTGGGGGTTACTGGAGGACATTGGCCAGGACTGTCACCCAGATCCTGTAACTTGAAGCATGTGCAAGGCTCTCGGCCCTGCCCGCCCACCCGCCCTGCTTGCCTCCCTCCTTTCACGGGTGACTCTAACAAAGAGCTTGTTTGCTGGACAGCCCAATGGAGCACGTTCTGCAGGGATAAAGGGGTGTGTGTAGGGGTGGGGATGAGATCAGGCCCTGTTGGCCATGGCCAGGGCTGGCCCCTCCGCTTTGGGAGGGCTGTGAGTCATCGTGACCCTGTGCCCGCCCATTGAACATTGATTAAATGTGCCAGTGAGGGGACAGACTGCGACTGCAGAGCCGAGCATGCAGGTCCCTCTCCGGAGCTTTAGACTGACTACTCTGAATCACTCCACCGTGTGTGAGTAACCAGTGGGGCTCAGCCTTCGCCTCCTGCTGTGGGCCACCTCTTCTTGTGAAGTTTGCCTGTCCGCCCAGGGACCTGCCCCTGGAGCCCCCAGCCGGCCTTGTATACCTGCTGTGGCCTCTGAGTCCTCTGGCTCTGGCCCGACTCTGGGAGTGACTGCACTGACCAGGAGGGGGTACCTCAGGCACATGCCACCCTCCTGTCCCCAGGCCGCTGTCAGGCCGAAGATCAGCCGAGAAGGACGAAGCAGAGTCCGGCTGTGGGAGACTGGCCAGCCAGCCCCGCTCGAGAGCCATGCTGTGACCACACTCTCCAATTTGTGAGCCTTCGTGCTGGGAACATATCTGTAGGAGAGGAAAGAACCTCAGGCAGGGTCTCCAAGAAGTCAGGCCAAGTGAAGCCAATTGTTTTCATTCCTCCCTTGGGACAGTCAGGAGTTGGAGCGCAGGAGCTGGGTTCCCCTGGTTGGGGGGGCCATGGAATCTCTCACGGAATCTGGGGTCCTGTGGAGCCTCCTGTTGCAGCAGGAAAGCTGGGCGCTACGGGGGTACCTGAAGAGGCTTACTGACACCCCTGCCGGGGCTGAATACTGTTGCTGGCACGGATCTGAGGAAATCCCGGCTGTGAGTGTGTGACCCAGTTTCTCTGTCTGCGATGGTTCTCTATGCCTTTCCATGCCCTGGGCATCTGTGCTCGCCAAGGGCCTGGGAACTGATGAGTGACAATCCTTGAACCTGAGTCCTTGGATAGTTTTGAACTCAAATAGGGGAATGGTGCCTCACCTGGGGAGAGCAGGATTGCAGGGGTGAGAAGGAAGAGGGCCAGGGTTTCTGGTGTGGGGAGGTGCTGGGTGGCAAGTGGAGTGTGCTGACTTGTCTCTGCTTCTTGCCTGCTTCTTGCCACTGAGTGCTCTGCAGCCTGGAGGCGTCTGTGTGTGCCCCTGGCCTAGAGAGACTGTGGACATGAGGTTTGTCCTCCCCTGTCTTCAGTGCTACAACCTTGTCCCAAGCAGAGAAGTGACTGCCTCCTCTCCTCCATGTGGATGCAATAGCCAGACTCTCCTCGACGTCCCCACCACCTCTGTCTCTGCAGGTGTCTGAGGTCTCATGGGGTAAAAGAGAAGCTGGAGAGAAATGACCATGTAGACAGGATATTAGAAATAGGAAGCTTTTGGAGTTCCAGGTGATTGGAAGGCTAATGTCCAAGTTCACCTGCAAGGACTTGGGGCCACCTGGTCAACAGCGTCTCAGGTTGACAGAGGGCCAGGAATATATAGTGGGGGAGGTTTGGGTGTGTGTGTGTGGTGGGGGAGGTTTGGGGGTGTGTGTAGGGAGAGAGCCCAAAGCAGGTGAACATGCTCCAGCTTAGAACCACATGCCCTGGGTTTCCCTTCTGCTCTCCTGCTCGGTAGCCAGGCACTGTGAGTAAATCGGGTAGCTGCTGTGTGCCTCAGTTTACTCGAACTTGGGACACTAAAAACAACCCTTCTGCCAGGTATAGAGATGAGTGGACATGATGGGTTTTGAACCGGTGGCTGGTACTTGGCAATAACTCATTCCACGGTTGATTACTGGCAGCTTTCATTGGCCAGTTAGACATGGTTATGAATTCACTGATAAACAAGGGTTTTAGGATGGACTGTGTTCCAAGGTGCCAGGGGGCCATCCACATTGATAATCTCAGGACTAGTCTGAAACTAGTAGTGTGGGTGTCTCCCAAGGTCTTATTTCATGATCTTTGCTTCATTTTGGGGGATTCTGTGACAGTCTTGCTTTGCAGAATGCGGAGGGGCAGCTACAATTGCAGGTGGAACTCCTGTAATAAGTACCTATCAAAGGCTGAAACCCCAGTTCTTAGCCGCAGACCCAGCGCTTGGAAGCACCTTTTGTCCTTTCCTTTGCCTTCCTGTTGCCTTCTCTATGAAACACTCTTCTTCCCTCCAACACAGAGACCCCCCAGGCCATAGCTCAGGTGGACACGCATACTGACCATGGCTTCAGCTTCCTTGTGGGCAGCTGGGCACCATGGACACCAAAACAATGAGAGGCTCAAGTCCGGCTCTGTCATCCCCATAACTGCATGCCAATTGATTTCCAGGGAGTGGGTGAGAAAGTATGTGTCACCTGCAACTGGGCAGTCTGTCCTCAGGCCTGCCTCTGGCCAAGGGTCAGCAGCTTTGTACACTGCAGAAATAGGTCAGCACACGGTACATATGCCTTTTGTCGCTGTATGAGGCTCTTCATGGGTTGTGTAGTTGTTCTTTGCATCTTCATTTGGTGTCTTCCTTCATCTGTGGTGCATATCTTCATGTTATTTATTTTGTCAAGGTATTTTTGGTGACATGTAGCAATTGCATATGTTTGTGCAGTATGGTGCAATAGTTATATCCATGTATGCTATGTGCAATGATACAATTAGGGGAGTTAGCATCACATTTCTTTCTGTTTTATTTGAAATGCAGAGAATCAGAGATGTACAGACATGCTCATCCACTGGTTCTCTTCCCCAAACATCCACAACAGCTGGAGCCAGCCAGGCAGACAACAGGAAGCAGAAGCTCAGCCTGAATCTCCCCTGTGGGTGGTAGAGAACCAACTCCTTGAGCCATCACCTGTTCCCTCAGAGGGTGTGCATGAGCAGGAAGCAGGATGCACGCACATCTTCACCACTGTATCAAGCACCCATTCTTTTGTTTTAAATTACTTACTTATTCTTATTTAAGATTTACTTATTTTTCTTGGAAAGACAAATTTACAGAGAGAAGGAGAGATAGGCAGAGAGAGCTTCCATCCATTGGTTCATTCCCCAAATGGGCACAATTGGCTGGAACAGAACCAATCTGAAGCCTGCAGCCAGGAGCTTTTACTGGGTCTCTAGGGGTGCAAGATCCCAAGGCTTTGGCTCTTACTCTTCTGCTTTTCCTGGCTGTAAGCAGAGAGCTGCATGGGAAATGAAGCAGCCGGGACACAAACTGGCACCCTTATAGGATCCCGGCACTTGCAAGGGGAGGATTAGCCAATTGAGCCATTGTGCTGGGCCCTTTTGTATTTTTTAAATCTCAAGTTTGTTAGCCTAGAAACTACAGGAATTCTGTTTTACAGCTGACAAAGTTTGCAAGGAGGAATTACCGAGGAAGTGTATGGAGAACCCTGTACGCTATGTGTGCAGAGGGGCCATCTGGTGGCACAGGTGGCGGTAGGGTGAGAGGCCAGGGCTGGGCATCAAGAGAAGGAGAGCACTCTGCATGCTCACCCCTTACCTGACCTGATCCCCGATGGCCTGTGGGACAGCATCACGCCAGGGACCTGTCTTTGGCCAGCTTTGGTTTTCCCATCAGTACAGTTAGGATTGCAATTGGAGCCTTTTGTGAGGCTGGGGAGGGAAATTTGGTGTGTTTATTCTTCGCTTATGTCTTATGTTTTATGGGTCTTCTAGAAGTATTTTATGATTTAAAAAAATCACGTCTTTCATGGTCGGCTAAATGCTCACTGTGTCATGGTGACAGCTTCTTCTGCGGGGTGCACTGGGCCCCAGCCCATCATGTGCCTGGCTGGATCCCATGCTTCACTGTTTTTTTTTTTTTTTTAAGATTTATTTATTTATTGGAAAGTCAGATATACAGAGAGGAGCAGAGACAGAGAGGAAGATCTTCCATCTAATGATTCACTCCCCAAATGAGCTCAACAGCCGATGCTATGCCAATCCAAAGCCAGGATCCAGGAACTTCTTCCGGGTATCCCACACGGGTGCAGGGTCCCAAAGCTTTGGGCCATCCTCGACTGCTTTCCCAGGCCACAAGCAGGGAGCTGGATGGGAAGTGGAGCTGCCAGGATTAGAACCAGCACCATATGGGATCTCAAGGCGAGGACTTTAGCTGCTAGGCCACGCCGCGGGGCCCCCATGCTTCACTGTTGGGATGGAGCTGCTGGCTTGCTGAAGGCTGCATTAAGCCTCCTTTTCTAACCTGGTCTCCTAGGATCAGTGATTGGTAGAGACTGGTCCTTGCCCTCTTACCATAGCAGCAAATGCTGCTCCTGTGCCTTATTTGCTAGCCCGGGTGAACCTGGCTCCATCCTGCTAACCTTGGCCATTGTCATGCAGGTGTTAAGTCCCACATATAAGCAGAGAAATGAAGACTTCAGAAAGCTCTTTAAGCAACTTCCAGACACGGAGCGCCTCATCGTTGGTGAGCTGGGTGACCTGGGAGGGAGCTGGCAGAAACCCTGGCTGCTCCCATCTAGAGGCTGTGGGCAGTCCACATAATCACATCTTCTGGAACAGGAAGAGGGGATGTTCTGAGCCCTCGCCCCAGCATCACACCTGCAGGAGGTCACCTGCGTCCTTAACCTCTCTGCAGGTGGCCAAGGGGTCATGGATGACGGAGGGAGGGAGTTAGTTGACTGTTGCTGGCTTTTGGCACTTGTCGCTCTTGGCTCCCTGGTGCTGCACCATTCATTCCTCTGCCTCTAGGCAGTAGCCTGTTTCACCTTCATGTTTCCTGATCAGGGTGTTTCCTGCTGCTATTTCATGTGGCTCGTGCACCTGGTCGTTGGGAGGCAGTGGGCTTCACTGGTGCTGGTGGGAGGGATGACATGTGGTTTGCTAAAACATGCTTCCTGTCTCTGCTCCTCTTCTTCATCCTGCTGCAGATTACTCATGTGCACTCCAAAGAGACATTCTTCTTCAGGGCCGACTCTACCTCTCTGAAAATTGGATTTGCTTCTACAGCAACATCTTCCGCTGGGAAACCCTGGTAAGGACCCTTGGTTATGACTGAGAAGCTGCTCTTTCTTCCTCTTGCTGGCATTGTTGTCTTCCTGGACCTTGGCAGAATTAACAGAAACAGGTGCATGAGTTGGCAAGGCTAGGTCACTTTGAATCCCGGTATGAAGATCTCTTGCACCACATCTCTTTCTCTCCTCCTCCCCTCGGGATGTGGAAGACAGGACTAAGCAAAGGCAGGTGAACCTTTGGACATTTAGCATAATACAATTAAAAGACTGTTAGTCTTGGAACTCATGAGCGGATTGTTCCCTCTCTGGGTTTTGCAGCAGAATAGCTGTGTGATTTTAGGCTACTTTCTGTCTTAGAGTCTGATTCCTCATCCTGAGAAGTGAACAGTGATTAACCAGTTGACATGTCAGGTCCTGTCTGATGCCATTATTCTGTATTTGTGACAAATAACGGCAGGACTTGGGCACACGTAACAGTGTGAAAGGTTCTTGGACCTAGAGCCAACCTACCCAAAGGCTCTGTCCCTCCCTGTGAAGGGCAGTGAGACTCAGAGTTCCCAAGGCCGCCCTTCCAAGGCTGTTCATGTGTCATCTCTGGTCTGGATTCCCTACCTGCACTTGTGCCATCTGAAACACTCTGTCTGGGTCCACTAATACCTCCTTTTACTTGTCTTTTCCTGTGCCTGTGGATTGTCAGCTGACAGTTCGTTTGAAAGACATTTGCTCCATGACTAAAGAAAAAACAGCTCGCCTCATTCCCAACGCCATCCAAGTTTGCACTGATTCAGAAAAGGTAAGTGGAGTCTAATTCAGAACTGGCTTTCTGCCTTCCTTTCTTTTAAAGATCTATTTATCTGGAAAATGTTAGAGAAGGAGAGACAGAATAATAGAGAGATCTTCTATTCACTGGTTCATTCCTCAAGTGGCTGAACAGCCAGGGCAGAGTCAGGCTGAAGCCAGGAGCCAGGAACTTCAATTTGTCTCTCCCACGTGGGTTGCAGGGTTCCAAGCACTTGTGTCGTCTTTCACTGCTTTTGCCAGGCTAAGAAATAGAGCGGGCAGAGAATGAAGTGCCAATATGGGTTGTCAGCACTGCAGGCGGCACTTTACACACAGTGACGTCCCCTGATTCTGACCAGAACCATGAATGGTGTGTTTCTGCCTTTAAATAGCATGAATGTGGAGGCCAATAGTACCTTGGTGAGAGGTGACGAGGGTGGCAACCTTTAGGGATGGCAAGCTGGCAGGAGATTGGAGTGGCAGACATTGGACTTGGGAGCCAGAACTCCGAGATGGAGTCCTGTGACTGCAGGCATCCTTTCTGAGCCCTAGTTTTTCTCAAATGTGGAAATGAAATGAGTTTTAAAATAACATCACCTATTTGAAAACATTATTGTGAAACACTCACTAGGCAAATAGAAGTACTCATCATTGTATATCAGAACATAGCTGATGATCTATCAAGAGGAGAAAGAGTCAGATAGGAAATGGAGCATCCTCTTCCATAGAGGAAACGTTGATAGGATTTAAGGCAAGTAGCCAGAGCCTGAAGGCTAACCTGGTCAAGGTCAGGGTGGGTGTCTACTGAAGATGTCAGTGCAAAAGTTTCCTTGGACTTGGGCAGTTCAGTGGTTGTATCCATGAACATTGGGGTTGATACTCTTGGCCTTGGATTCTGTTTCTGGTCCCAGCGAGTTTTGAGATGATGAAAGTTGCCCAAATCAAGGTCATGCTATTACTTGTTAACAATTTTGTGGAGTACCTAAGGCATTTGGGGTGGTCCACAATTTAAAAAGGGCGTGGCACGATAGCATAGTGGTTAAAGTCCTTGCCTTGCACTCCTGGGATCCCATATGGGCACCGGTTCTAATCCCGGCAGCCCTGCTTCCTATCTGGCTCCCTGCTTGTGGCCTGGGAAAGTAGTTGAAGACGGCCCAAATCTTTGGAACCCTGCACCCGCATGGGAGACCCAGAAGAGCTCCTGGCTCCTGGCTTTGAATTGGCTCAAGTCCAGCTGTTGCAGCCGCTTAGGGAGTGAACCATCGGAAGGAAGATCCTTCTTCTTTGTCTCTCCTCCTTTCTGTGTATCCACCTTTCCAATTAAAAAAAAAATTTTTAAGTTTTTAAAAAAGCTTTGAAGTAGTTAGTAGGTGCGTGGTGGTTTTCTGAATATTAGAAAGGATGCCAGTGGTAACTAAGCCCCGGAAGAGAGGATTCCTTTCCATGTTGTCCTTGTGGAGCCTTAGCATGTAGACTGATGGCCAGTGCAGGCTGATCTTAAAATACTTGTTGAATGAATGAAAAAAGCCAGGGCATTGGGGCATTTGTCTTGTCCTTCCTTTTGGGTCAGTTCGTAGCTTACCTCTGACCTAGTTCTGGTGTGTTGGGTGCAGGACATTTTTATGGAGGTGAAACTTTTATCTTTTTAAACACTTACCATTGTTTGTCTAAAAGGCATTAGTGAAAGAGAAAGAGAAATCTTTTATCTTCTGGATCATTTCCCATATGGCCCTAATAGCCTGGTCTGGTTCAGGCTGGAGCCAGGAATCTGAAACTCCACCTGAAACTCCACCTGAAACTTCCACATGGGTGGCAGGGGCCCAAGCACTTGGGTCGTCTTCCACTGCCTTCTCGGGCACGTTAACAGGAACCTGGACTGGAAGAACAGCCAGTGTTGTTGCAATGTGGGATGTCGGCAATGTAGGCTGAAATTTAATGTGCTGTACCACAGCACATTGCCACTGTAAGTGAAAACTTGAAACCAAAGAAAAAAGCCCTGAGACAAGTGTGGGTGTAAACCTAAAGGCACTCAGGAGTCCCCAGAGCCTGGACCCCTTGTGTCTGACCTCCGCAGCTCAAGTACCTAGGCTATGACCACAAGTGTCAGAGTCGTTGGTATTAGAGGATGAAGTCAGTATTATAAAGAAGTAAGGATCCTATCTCCAGTCATACTTTTCTAAGTCCTAACGCACATGCCTGTCTATTTTCTCCTGCCATCCAGCACTTTTTCACGTCTTTTGGAGCCCGGGATAGGACGTACATGATGATGTTCCGGCTGTGGCAGAATGCTCTCCTGGATAAGGTACGTTCTGCCGCCAGGTGAATGTCCACCTGTATGTCCTCTCCCCCTGACGTCCCGATGGGAGCTTGCTCCTTAGCCAGCTCCAAGACGTCCCAGTCTCTTGTGGTCCCAGAATTCCTCTAGGGTTGGGAGAATGGCACATGCTAGCACCAGCACTATTAACCTGAGTCCTTAGAAGCAGCCTGTCCTCTTTGGGAATGGCTTCCACGCTGCCCAGAGTAAAGCATTGAGGATTTTGGACCCGTCACAGGCCCATCATCAGTTCCACTACTGTAAATTGTCCCAGAAGTTGTTTTGTTTGGTGTGTTGACACAGAAATAACTGTCCTGGAAAGCAGAAGCTTTTTTATTCCAAGATCCTTAGTCATAGGGGGCCCAGACTCAGGGCCATAGGGGAGGCTTCAGGTTTGGGAGAGCACAGCCAGCACCTCTAGTGTGGTGTTTGCAGGAAGCCTTGGGTGCGATTTTAGGTCTGGCTGATTTTGATAAGTCAGCATGCTTAAAGGTATAGGGGTCATCTATGTTTGCCCGGCGTCTGACCTTGGAGCAGCTAGGGCAAGGGAGTGTGCTCCGTCCCTGGGTGGAGGGACTGTTCGCTGGTTGGTTGCATGTGAGTGAGTTGTTCTTGTTGCTAGGAATTAATGAACCTTGGTAGGTTGCTTCTGAACAGGATGCTAGATGCCAGAGCACCACTAATAGAAAAACGTGTAAATGCTCACTCGCATCTCCACTAGCCGACTGCTGAGTTGCACCGAGAGGGGCCACAATTCCTGCCCTGACTCAAATAGAGTTTCTGCTAGTCTGAGAGTCTGTATCCGTGGCATGAATCCTGGTCACTTATTTGCAGATCCTGTCCCTTTAATTGGCCACCTGTAATAACCAGGTGGCAGTAGTTGAGTCTTCATGGGCAGTTCTGAGTTTTCGGGTCATAGTTGTTTTTGATTCTAAGCTGTACACAGGGTTATCCATTGTCTTCCCCAGTGCTCTAGTAAAATGACTTCCAGGAGTTCTGTCCAGTGAGGAGGATTTGCTTGTTGTGCTTTTTTTTTAACCTGTGGTCAGATGGCAAAGGTTGAGTGGTGAGGCAGGCTGGGACATGGCTTAGAGAGAGACAGCTGTGTCCCAGGCAGGGTGAATGGTGTCCATAAAGGCCAGAGAAAGAACAGAGAGGTTCAAATCCAGAAGAAAGAGACTCCTTCTTTGGGCAGTGTGGCACAGGGAGCCCGCAGACCTTGCTACCCCATAGCGAGGTCCTGACTCCACCAATCTAGGCAGTTCTCCTTACTAGAACACTAAGGCTGAATTGCGGTATTCTGCTGGTTTCTTAAGCCATACCCTGAAAAGATGGTCTAAGGACAGCTTTAGTGTCCTGTAATGACTGGGACTTGGCTTCATTCAGGTCTCCCATGGAGTGCAGGGGCCCAAGCACTCAGGGCATCTTCCGCTGCTTCTCCAGGCTTATTAGCAGGAACCTAGATTGGAAATGGAGTAGTGGGAACTCTAACACACACCCATATGTGATTCAGGTGTTGTAGGAGTGGCCCACCTCAGCATGCCACAGTACCCACACTGGAATACTCTTGTCTAGGACTGTGCACGGCACAGGCACACATTGAAATTAAGCAAACAAAGCTGGACCTGATGGGTGTTGCAAGCTGCTTCTATTTAAGAAGAAAGAGTGTTCACTGGCATGGTGGCTCAGCAAGCTAATCTTCCACCTGCAAGTGCCAGCATCCCATACGGGCGCCAGTTTGTGTCCTGGCTGCTCTACTATATTAAGATAGTCAAGAGAAGGTTGAATGAGATGGCCTGTTAAACTCCAAGAATGTGAGACTATTTCTGACCACAGGAATTCTCCGTCTGTGGAATGGACCACGTTCGACATTGAGTTTCATTCTTGGAAGTGGCCCACTAGGAGATGTTTGCTGTGTGTGGGAGACAGGGTCTGGGATCTTATGAATGTTCAGCATCCGAAGGGCTCCCTAACCTTAGAGCACCACGAGTTTATGGCTGTTAATACTGGATCTCATCAGGAGGCACGTGGGTGGGGCAATTACCATACCCAAGTCGCCAGTTGGTTACATTCTGCACAGCCCTGTTGAAGAGAGTTCCTCTGGGCGGATTTGGAGGTTCGGAAGAACCAGTGTTCAGGCTTCTTGCCTTTCTCTCCTGCAGCCTCTGTGCCCCAAGGAACTCTGGCACTTTGTTCACCAGTGCTACGGGAACGAGCTGGGCCTGACCAGTGACGATGAGGACTATGTGCCCCCTGATGATGACTTCAACACGATGGGGTGAGGAGCTGGGGCTGGGCTGCTCTGGGAAACTGCGGGTGGATTGGCAGCAAAGCCTCCACTGGGCGAGTGGCATTGAAATTTAGCCCTAGTGAAAGTGAAGGAATGAATCTGAGGGGTCAGGGGAGACATACCTGGATGAACAGTCTTCCGGGTGGAGAAAACAGCAAAGCCAGGGCTGTGAAAGCACCCAAGGGCCTGTTGGCCCCAATGGCTGGGTTTTACCAAGAACGGAATGGAAACATTGTGAGTAGATCGTTGATAAGGTCTTGACTGAACAGGATCACTCTGGCTTCTAGACAGAAAACATACTGGAGGGGTTTTGGAAGAGCATAGGGAGAAACGGGGGAGACTAAGATGAATGAGAATCAATAGATGATTCAGATGAATGAGAACAGCGGCTCGGACCAGGAAAGTGGCTGTAGAATGGTGATAAGTGATCAGCTCCTGGATATATTTTCATGTTTATTGATGGATCCAAAAGGGAACCGTATGTAAGATTTTGTTGTTGTTGTTGATCTTGCCATCTGCATAGATGAAGTTGCTCCGGCCTGAGATGGACAGCATTGTAGGCAGAGCACATTTTAAGGGAAGAGCACAAGAGTGGCTTTAGACAGATGGCCATGTGGAACAATCCAGCAGGCCTTGAGGTGTGAGGGCGGAGGTCACAGGAAGTCTGGGGCCACATGCTCTAGAGTGGTAACTGGAGCTCCCTGAAACTGGCTGAGCCCTCCACCAACCAAATGGATGTAAGATGTAGTTCAAGGACTAGGCCTGAGAGCACTCGACAAGAGGAAGCGGCAGCAAAACATACCTTGGAAGAACACCCACAGATGTAGGAAGAACAACAGGGGCATTTTGTATCCTGGAAGGTAAGGAAAAGGAGTTAAGGAGAAGGGAGTCCCACTGTGTCACGTACTGTTGATAGGAAAAACAGAGGCTGCACACTCATAATACTGAGAGCAAGCTTGCATGAGACACAGATGGTAGGGGGAGAATAGGTGACAGTGTAAGAGGCTTGAAGAGTAGAAGGCAGGGGAAGAGCTTTGAACCAGGAGGACCTAGACCTGGGCTCAGGTGTAAGTATCAATATTGAATAGTGGTATTATTTAATCCCTGCGAGAACCCAGTCGGCGAGTGCTATAGTGCAGGTAATTGACTCGGAGTTGTCAGTCCTGATATGCAAAGAGTAAGCGAGATGTTGATGTTTGTGACGATTACAACAGTGATAACCGCAGCTCGAGGAGACTACAGTCCCTGAAATGTCCTTGGAAGGACATCACGTTCTCAAAGAGGTCTCTATTTAGGTTTAGGAAGAGAGGTTTACTAGTTAAGAGCTAGGGTTTGGGCGGTACCAGTGAAGGAACACTTTAGCTGGAGTCCTGTCTTAGTCACGGGGAAATGAAATTATGCTCAGAACCCGAACACTTGATTTAAGCAGTCAGAATGAATACCAGTGGAAAAAAGCATAGCTTAAAACCAGTAGTTACCATGTTTAGGTGAGAACAAATCTAAGGATGATGTCTAGAAAAAAGTGAGTTTGAGGCCAGAAATTGTAGGGAAGCAGCAAAGGGTAGGGTGTGGTAGGAAGGTATTTTAAGGAGAGTAATGGAGGTAGACTTTTGGTTAGGGAAGAAATGCATATCTCTGCCCTCAAAGAGGCAGGAAGGCCCATGGCTCTGGGTGGAGATGGACATGTTTGAGGTTCTTAAAACTTTCAGTGATCATAATCCCTGAGGTTAACCTGGGCTCACTGCTGTCTTCCTTCAGCTACTGCGAGGAGATCCCCGTAGAAGAGAATGAAGTTAATGACAGCTCCTCCAAAAGCAGCATAGAGACCAAGCCAGATGCAAGTCCTCAGCTGCCCAAGAAATCCATCACCAACAGCACTCTGACATCCACAGGGAGCAGTGAAGCCCCTGTCTCGGTATGGGCATGGACCCATAGTCCTTCCACCCAGGGGCTAGGCTCTTGTAGGGTAGTTAACGCCACAGGGACCCTGTTCTGGGGAGTAACGGGGGACAGGGTGGTTATACCGTGGTTGGGTTATTCAACAACACATCCTGGCAAGGGGGCTGTCTATATTCCAGTGATGTAGTTTCGGTTCTAGTTATGTGGGACTGCCTTCTGAGCAGATGGAAACCATTCCAAACCTATTGTGTGAGCTTGGCTCGTTGCTGGACTGCTCTGGACAAGCTGCATCTGGTGGAGAATTAATCCAGAACTGTACATTTGGTTAATATTTCTATATACACCGTAATTTAGTTTCTTACTATGGTAGCGTCTGTGGACAGCGTAAAGATAAGTATTCTCTGTTCTCGAGAGTTCAGATATCGAGGAGAAAGGATGGTGATGAAGGAAGGAGTTTGTGTGCTTGCTGGAAGGTGGGAGCAGTTCTCAGAAATGGGAGTCTTGCATTGCAGTGGGTTAAGAGCCAGGCCAACTCGCATTAGTATGAAAACATGCATTTGAGCATTAATCTCCTACTTCTAAGGGTGTTGTGAAGATATAAAGCATTGCATTGAGCCTCCAGGGCTGATGAGAGAAGGGAAAGCAAAAATGCTTTGGAGGCAGGCTGGCTTGGTCATAGCATGCTGAGGATGTGGCTCAGGAAAGGACTACTAACTCGCTCGTAGCTGAGCTGTGCATGGGAAGAACCCCAAGGCCAGGACGCTAACCTCTTTGGAAGACAGATGTCCCGAGCACATTACCTGTGGTGTGTGACTGCTGTCTCCACCGCAGTTCGATGGCTTGCCCTTGGAGGAAGAGGTGCTAGAGGGCGATGGGTCCCTGGAGAAGGAGCTCGCCATTGACAACATCATAGGGGAGAAGATGGACATCATCGCACCTGTAAACTCTCCATCGTTGGACTTCAATGACAATGAAGACATCCCCACGGAGCTCAGCGACTCTTCTGACACACACGATGAAGGTGGGCGTTTGAGAACAGCTAAAGTGACTCTGTAGAGACTGCGGTTGGTTGTCTCTAGGTTCCTCATGGAAGGGTTGTTTACAGAGCTGTGTGGAAAAAAATGGTACATTTCAGGGCCCACAATGTGTTTTAGCTGCTCAGGCTGCTACCTGTGATGCCAGCAATCCCATATGGGCACCAGTTTGTGTTCCTACTGCTCCACTTCCAATCCAGCTCCCTACTAATATCCTGGGAAAAGCAACAGCACATGGCCTGAGAGCTTGGGCCCTTGCCATCCGTGTGGGAGACCTGGGTGGCGTTCCTGGCTCCTGGCTTTGACCTGGCTCAGCCCTAGTCATGCTAGCTGCTTGGTAGATAAACCAGAGGATGGAAGACCTCTCTCTTTCTATCTCTCCCTCTTTCCCTGCAGCTCTTTCAAGTAATAATTTTTTAATAGTGTATTTGTAGGGGACTTTTAAGAGGTCATGGAAAATGTTGGGGAAGGGCCCGGCGCGGTGGCGCAGTGGTTAAGGTCCTCGCCTTGCACGCCCGGGATCCCACATGGGCGCCGGTTCTAATCCCGGCAGCCCTGCTTCCCTTCCAGCTCCCTGCCTGTGGCCCGGGAAAGCAGTCGAGGACGGCCCAAAGCTTTGGGACCCTGCACCCGCATGGGAGACCTGGAAGAGGCTCCTGGCTTCGGATCGGCGTAGTATCGGCCGTTGCGCTCACTTGGGGAGTGAATCATCGGATGGAAGATCTTCCTCTCTGTCTCTCCTCTCTGTATATCCGCCTTTCCAATAAAAAAAAAATAATAAAAATAAATCTTTAAAAAAAAAAAAAAGAAAATGTTGGGGAAAAAAACTAAATTAATTTCAGCATTTTTTTTGGAATCAAAAAAATTTATTTTATTTATTTAATTTATTTGATTTATTTGATTTATTTTTTTATTATTTTACCTGTCTTCTGCAAACTTTTTCAGACATCCTTATATATCCCTCTTTTCAGATGATCACTGCAGGACCCTCGCTATTTTATATTTTGTCCTCCTACGCTCAATGGATGCTTTGTTCCTTCCACAGTCTTGCCTCTAAATGTACCTCACCATTGGCATTGGCTTGCTTTGCACCTCTGTCCCTCATGGACGTGCCGCGTGATGTCAGTGTTTAGCCACAGGGAGGGTGCCATGGAAATGATAGAAACTTCCTCAAGAGCACTGGAGAACTCATTAGTGAGCTGAACATCACGGTTTAGGCCATGTAGGGTTGGACAGATTTGGAGATTCCCCTTCTAAAGTGAATCTCCGTAGTGCTTTTTACTGCACTGCTAGGCGGGGCTAGCTCCTAGGAACCACTTCAGATATGTGCTGCTGCTACGTTGCAAAGAGAAAACTACAGACTCCATGTTCCTGAAATCAGGCTGTTGGTTTCTTTCACTGAATTGGTGGTGAGTACAGACGGTGCTCAGTGGCTTTATCTGTGGACAGCTTGTCCCAGGGGTTGCCTCTGGTGGCTCTCTAGTCTTCAATTGTCTTGATTGCCCCTGCCCAGGATTCAGGACAAATGGCTGGGCAGGTTGGGCATTGCCTGATTCCACTGATGCCGTTTACATATTCTAAGATGTGCATATCCTTCACACCATGACTATGCAATGCCCAGTCCTAGACGCTGACTGTGTAGGCTGCTCCTGATTCCTTCCTTGGCCTTCTCAGGTTCTAGTGGTGCCTGAAATGCTAGGGTTCTGGTGCTTCAATCACATACCAGCCCATGCAGGAACAGGTAGTAGGGGCTGTGGGAAGCCAGCTCATGCAGGCACAGTCATTAGAAACCATCTCTCTTCAGACACATTCGTCTGTAGCAGGGAGCACATGCAAAACATTGCAGGTGCAGTCCCCAGGTTGGCGGGAGTCTGCATGTGATCACAGAGTTGTGTTCTGAGTGGGCACAGCAACCTTGAGAATGCAGGCTAATACTTCTGGATGTGTTATCTCCCTCTCCCTATCCCCACCTTTGCTGTGTAGAACCTTGTTGGCTCATCTTGATTTCTCTTCTTTTGCTACTGTAACACTATCATTGCAAGTTTTTAGAAGAATGAGTGGGGACTAAAGTCATGGGTGAAATAAGCTGCCTTGTGGCATCAGAGCAGACATGATACAGTTAGGGATCCCAGATCACTGGGGCAGCTGCAGCCTCAGAAGCTTTTTTGGTAAGCTTTGGCCCTTCAGCATAGCTGTGCTTGGAAGTGGAAAGCAAAGAAAGCCCACGGTCCCAAGTCCTCTGTAAAGGGTGAGTGAACACAGTGCTGACTGCTGTGGACAGCTTGCACCCCAGTGAAGGGAAGAGACTGAAGCGTAGTCCTGAACAGTGGAGCCAGGGCATCCAGCTCCCTGACCCGAAGGTCTCCCCACTCCTGGCAGCCCTGCCCACACACACGTGAGTCTAGCATCAGTGTTTCAGGGCTGTCCCCAGGGCTCCTTGTACTCTCTGCTCTCACTGTCTTTGTCCTCTCTTCCGTGCAGGGGAGGTCCAGGCCTTCTATGAGGACCTGAGTGGCCGGCAGTACGTGAATGAAGTCTTCAACTTCAGTGTGGATAAGCTCTATGACCTTCTCTTCACCACCTCGCCCTTCCTGCGGGACTTCATGGAGCAGCGGCGCTTTTCCGGTGTGTTCTGTGGGGCTGAGCCCTTCCCTTCCCGCCCCCCTCCCATGGTTCCCTTTTCCTCAGGCCACCTGATGCTTGAGGCTCCTGCTGTCTTGCCATACAAGGGCCAGAGCTACCTCAGTGCCTGCTTGTCCTCTTCATGCCCTGTGCTGTGCAGTGTCACACCTTGCCCCGCTGTGTACTCGCCATGGCCTGGCTTCCATTCTCTCGGCTCTCAGTGTCTTTTGCAAGGCGGCAGCACCCACTCCCGGTGAAGCACAGAGCGTATGGCAGGTGCACTCCTTAATCACTCAGGGTGTACAGCTGCCCTGTGTGCAGGCCGTGTAATCCCCCAGGACTGAGGAAGAAGCTTTAAGTTCTCAGTACGTGGTGAACATCGTAGAACCGCACCAGAATTTAGATCTGGGGCACTCGCAGTTCTGCACTTTGACCTTCCACACTGCTGTCCATCCCCTCCATCCTGCTGTTCCCACGGCAGGGGCTGCGGCACTGATATGGGAAAAGGCCTTGAGGAAAGCATTAGGGCGTCAGAAAGCCCCTAGGCCGAGAGAGGCACGCTGAGGGCATGGGGCAGTCAGGTCTTGGAGGAGACGACTTGTTCCCAAGGGATCCTAGGTCCTTGCCACAGTAACTCCAGTGTTGCCTGCACCCCTGTAGGTGGCCCTAAGACCTCCTGCCCCAACTCAGGAACAATCAGCGTTCTGGAGCCTACTGTAGGATTCTGGCCGTTCTACAATGAGCTTCTTTTCTGTTTCCACTCCCCCCCCTCCGAGGCCGCCTCCTCCTCCTGGTCCTTGGGCTCCTATTGGCTTCCTGTTGGGGGCCCGTCTTTGGCCAGCCGAATGAAGAGAAGTTGACTTGGAGGGACAATTAGGATGTGGGCAAGGGGGCACTGCTTTCCTGCCCTCATTCTGGGGTTCATCTCTGCCCGCAGATATCATCTTCCACCCGTGGAAGAAGGAAGAGAATGGAAACCAGAGCCGCGTCATTCTCTACACCATCACCCTTACCAACCCTCTGGCTCCTAAAACTGCCACGGTCAGAGAGACTCAGGTGAGAGACTGAGGCCACAGGTGGATTGTAAGGTGGGCTGGATGAAGCTTGTCTGTTCTGGAGGATTTATGAACAGGGTTCAGGAAGGAGTCCTGGGTGCTGGCTGTGACATTTTGGCTTGCTGCCACCTGAAGGGGCCCTGGGTCTTCCATCCAGAAGTTATGGGATGGGGTGGAGCCCAGAGACTTCCACTGGACATGTCTTGAGCGCCATCCTTTCCTCACCACAGACCATGTACAAGGCGAGCCAGGAGAGTGAATGTTATGTGATTGACGCCGAAGTCCTCACCCATGATGTACCATATCACGACTACTTCTACACCATCAACCGCTACACACTCACCCGTGTGGCTCGCAACAAGAGCCGGCTCAGGTGCAGAATGCTGGGATCGGGGTCCTCACGGAGGGGAGCACCCCTCTGCTGTTGGGAGGAGGGAGATTGGGTGCCTTTGCTTGCTGACACTTTCTGTGTTCTGCCACTTCACTGTCCTAGTAGAGTTGACCTCTGACTTCTCCATGTGCACCTGTTACCCCTCTGTCCACCTTCTTAGTGAGGCTTGCATGACTATTGGCCATTTATGGACTACCTGGCTTATAGAGTGCTGTGTGCATGCCTTACCTGCAATCTGTGGTATGTTTATAACCTAAGGAAGGATACCCTAAGGATAGGATATAACATATCCTCATGTCGGATGAGAAAACCGAGGCTCATTAAGTGAACTAACTTTGTCAAGAACACACCCCTTGTAAGTAGTCACCTGTCTGTATACATGAGGTTGGTCCAGAACCACTGTGAATACCAAAATCCACCTATGCCCAAAGCTCTGTTATTTGCATTGTTTACATGCACCTGTGTGCATCCTCTTGCATACTCTTAAATCGTATCTAGATTACTTATAATACCGAATACTATTGTACCTGGGAAAGCAGTAAAAGATAGTCCGAGTGTTTGGGGAGACCCAAAAGGAGTTCCAGATTTCTGGCTTTGGCCTGACCCAGCCTTGGCTGTTGCAGCTGTTTGGGGAATGAACTAGTGGATGGAAGATCTCTCTGTGTCTCTCCATCTCTGTAACGCTTTCAAAATTATTTATTTATTTATTTTAGCTGTTTTAATTTTTGATACAATTCCATAGGCTCTGGGATTTCCCTTACCTCCTCAGCAAATTGCCTTCTCCCAACTTATTTCCTCATATTATTACAACAGTAAAGTCCTTCAAAAGCAGTCGTAAGTCCATCATTTTTTTAAAAGATAAGTTTTTAAGAGAAGGAATATATACAGACCCCTAGACACTCTCAAATTTCAATTTTTGATGTAAGATGAAGACATTTAATGTATTTCCTGTACGTGGATTTAGGAGCATAGTGAGACTTCCCACCCCATCCACGCTCCCATCATTCCTCCTCCTTTTGTTCTTATTGTGGTTATTTATTTACTTTTTAGCTTTTATAATGATGTAGAAAAAGAAAGATGGAAGAAATCTAAACCCTGGTATTTTAAGGGCTTACTGTCTCATTGAAAAGTCATGCTACGCTTGCATTGCAAAATACCTGCATCTTAGAGTGAGCGCTTCTGGTTGGAGGAGCAGGAAGGCGTTCTGGCAGTTCAGAGGATGCTTAGCCAGAGGTTGCACAGAGATCTCTTGGGATCAGGGGGCGCTGAATGCCAGCTTCCCAAGCGTCGCCTGATCTGCCCCATCTCCCTGTTAGTTTTTCTTGGGGAGTGGGTGGGGAGTTTTGTGGGGCTTTGTGTGTACTCTTCCTCTTTCTTTTATTTCTCTTCCTTCTCTGATCTCCCTCCTGTTTATACTGTCCTCTGCAAAGACGCCCACTTCTGGCCCCGCCCCGCCCAGCCAATGTCTAGGTTTTGTAATCTCAGGTTCTGCAGACTATTTAATTTTGGTCCCACAGAGGTTGACCTCACACAGACCTTTAGCAGGCAGTGCCTCTTCTTCAATCCAGGAAACAATCGTGGGGTGGGTGGGGAAGGGGTGGCTCCAAGTGAGGGCATTCTGCTAACAGGCCATGGGTGCAGGCAGCCTTAACATGGAGAGCAGAAGCAGAGAGAATATCAACAGGTCAAGTGCACCCAAGGAGGAAACAAGACAGTGAAAGGGAAGGGGAGGAAAGGAAAGGAAAGGATGAGAAGACAAAGAAAAGGAAGGGAACCACTAGGGGAAGGTGAAGGGTGGGCAGGAGCAGATGCAGTAGGAGAGGCAGAGCAGTGGGCTAAGCAGATTGGGACCCAGATTCTGGAGCAGAGCAAGAGTGGACCAGGCCTTGGGGACATGGGAGTGACAGGATACAGGGCAGGTAGCGGATGTTACTCACCTTCTCTTGGCTGACCGGAAGGGGTTGTCCAACACCACCCATAGATCCCTTGGGAGGTAGGCAGTGTGAGATCATGAAAGAATTCTGTACTTGTAGTTGGCAGCTTTTGGTCCTCTGTAAAATGGAGCTAAATCCACTAGCTCCAGTAGGCTCAGGGATATGACTAGGGACACCAGATGAAGCTGCGTTGGCCTTGGACCTGAATTTCCCTTTTCCTACCAGTGGACAGTCCACCTTGGCAATGACAGTCCTTGTTTCTGCCTTGCTCCTCAGGGTCTCCACAGAGCTGCGCTACCGAAAACAGCCCTGGGGGTTGGTGAAAACCTTCATCGAGAAGAACTTCTGGAGTGGACTGGAGGACTACTTCCGCCATCTAGGTGGGCACTGTGGCTGTGCTGCTGAGGGGCTGCACAGCTGCCACCCTTCAGGAGGGTGGGAGACAATGACGTTATGATGGGGTTTTATGAGATTCCTACTCTGCCCTGGAAATGGAGATCACATTTGGCCATGTATGTGAACTTGTGCACTTTTCCAAAAACTCTTAGCTGTAATTTTCATGACATCATTAAGGGAGCTATGAAACCCTCCTTCCAAACAAAATGAGCCAGAGATAAATCAGTACCAGTGCCAGTTCTGTTCTGAGAAGGCTTGGCAAATAGTCTGTTAATGCATCCATTTAGGAAGTGCGTGTAGGTCCCAAATTGTATGCACCACTGTGCTGATGGTGAGATCGTGGGGCTCTATCCCATGTTAAACAACCCAGATGAGGAGTTTGAGTGGGGGCTTGGTCCCAGAAGTGTCCCCTGAGCATCCATGAGTGTCCCCTGCCCACCTGGCCAACTTCCAAGGCTACACAGTATGGGAGCAAGCCCGCCCCGGAGAACTTCTTTTAGAAGATAGTGCGTTGAGTTGAAGAAATGGGAGGATGGCCTCTGATGCAGCCTTTTTGTCCTTGGTAGAGAGCGAACTGACCAAAACAGAGAGCACCTACCTGGCTGAGATGCACAGACAGTCTCCCAAAGAGAAAGCCAGCAAACCCCCAACGGTGCGGAGGAGGAAGCGTCCCCACGCCCACCTGCGGGTGCCTCACCTGGAAGAGGTGATGAGCCCCGTCACCACACCCACTGATGAAGATGTGGGTCATAGAATCAAGCACGTGGCAGGTGTGTACCAGGTGGGGATGGATGGTGGAATTTGAAGAGGATTTGCTGGAGCTGCCAGCCCATGCGCACACACACTCATGTTCCTTTTGCACCTTAGATGTAATTTCAAAGGAAACTGTTGAAATCTAAGGCTCCTGTTACCCTCTCTCCTTTCTTTGCCTCTTCCCTTGCTCTGTCAGTGCTGCCTTTGAGCTTCTGTCTCCCTATCGTCCAAGCTCCATGACTACCTGTGCAGACCCAAGTATGCAGTTTTCTGTATTCTTGAGAAATACACTAAGGAGAAGTCTAGACTTGAGGATAACATAAGAACAAGGTCAGGGAGTCCAGGACACCCCCTCTTCTTCCCCCATGGGTATAACATCTGCCCTCATGTTTCATATATCTTCCTCTTCCCAGCCAGCCCATTCATACACCAGGTTCAAGAACCTAGAAACATGGGGCTTTATACCCACGACTGCAGTGCTCTTTAAAATCTACATATCCTCATGGGTTCCTCAGAGCGGACTGGGAGAGGGGAGGAGGAGGAGCGTGCCAGTCTTGTGTGCCCCTTGCCCACCATTTCACCAGAGCTCTTGGGTAGCTGACTGTGAATGCAGCTAAGAGCTGGAAGCTGGGCTGCCTGCAGTCCTTCTCCAGTGCTGCTTCCCCTTCCGGGGCTAAAAATCACTTTGTCCCATATTTGTATGTGCAGGCTGCAGGGATGTGTTGTTTTTCTCATTTGTTCACTGAATGTCCAACCCAATTCATGACCTTGCCCTTGAGAAGCTTATCTTCTGGTTAGAGGGCTGGGGATAGTTAGCATGTCGTTGCCATGGCAGCAGCATGGACAGTTCTCTGTCGTTTCCTGAAATTCCTATCGTGGGCTATGCTGGTGACAGTCTCTTTGTTCTCGCACAGGTTCCACGCAGACTCGACATATCCCTGAAGATACTCCCAATGGCTTCCACCTACAGAGCGTGTCCAAGTTGCTGCTGGTTATCAGCTGTGTGTAAGGGACTCTCGGTTCTTCTCCTGCCTGGGCCCCTGCACCTTCCCCTTTCTGCGTGGTGCTTCATCCCCCATCTCTGAAACAGGAACATGCTTAGTCTTCTGTTTGTTCACTGTCCTCTGGTTTTCGATGTCTAGATTGATTGCTCTGGCTTTTTTTTTTTTTTTTTTCTTTTTGCCTGTTTGCTTACTTTTCTCTGCTATATACAACATTTAGTGTATGCTAGGGTTTCAGAAGAAAATGCTACAGGATACCCCACAGATGAGTGAGAGACAGGACATGCACAGTTCCCACGCAATTGTGTGGAACGGTAACACAGAAAAGTTAAAGGGGCTGATGTTGTGGCATGGTGGATTAGACCACCACTTGCAATACCAGCATCCCATATGGTCACTGGTTGAGATCCCAGCTGCTCCATTTCTGATCCAGCTCCCTGGCAGTGCTCCTGGGAAAGCCGCAAAGGATGGCCCAAGTCCCTGGGCCCTTAAATTCATGTTGGAGACCTGGATGAAGCTCCTGGCTCCTGGTTTTGGCCTGTCCTAACCATAGCTTTTATGGCCATTTGGGGAATGAACCAATGGCTCTCTCCCTTTTCTTTTTTTCTTTATAACTCTGGCTTTCAGCAAATAAAATCAACCATTGGGGAAAAAAGTTACAGAGCATGTTAGGAGTCTGCTTAGTTGTTTTCTGGGAGATCTTGGTGTCCTTTCTGTGCCAAGTGCAAGGACCATGCAGATTTTGGAAGGGGGACAGAATCAGTAAGTACATCAAGGGGATGGTTCTAATGTAGACACTGGATCATTGCTATACATTTAAGCTACAGGAGGAGTCCACTTCCATAGACAGGTATTGAGCTGGGAAGAGAGGAAATCAGCAGGAGCAAAGACATAAGATGGGGAAACATAGCTTGTTCTTTGGAATGGAAGCCCACACCATTGGCTCCCAGGGACTTTGTTAAATCATTTTGAGCAGTGAGCAGCTAGAAAAGCCAAGAACAGCTCTTCTCCTTGGTGACCCCAGCCCTATTTTACTGTGAGATTGTAGGAGTGTGGGTGGAGGGAAGGCAGGGCAGCTGCCCAAGTGCGGTTGGCCCATCCTGGCCCTCAGAAACCCAAGGGAAGCCCAGGAGTGGCAGGTTTGCTTTACAGTACAAGTCACTGTCCTGGCAATATAGGGAACGGATTGAAGAAAATCCTGGAGCAGGGAGGTCTCTGGCCATGAAGTGCTGGTGGCTGTGAGACTGAGAGAGGGCACAGCAGCTGAGACCCCAGAAAGGTAGGAGACAGTTAACATCTAGTTAAGTAGTCAGAAAAAATGGACTTCTGATTTGAGGGACTGTTGATGATTTGACATGATAAGGAATGTCGAATTTAGTGGAAAGTTATCAGAGAAGTCTGTGAGTCTAGATGTGTCTGTACTGTCATGCATAATCTTGGTGCAGGTTACACCTATTTGTCGATGTGGACCTGGCTTTTAGGAGACAAGTGTGGACTCCAGGCACATTTAATTATCTGTAGCATCACAGTCACAGGTGTAATGGAGCATCAACCCGTTGGCAGTTAGCATGCGTGATAGGTCAGGGACAAGTACAACCCTGGACAGCCCTTCTGGAGTGGGGTCTGTGAAGAACATAACGAGAACTCTCAATAACCTTACTTCAGTGTGTCCCATAAAAAGGCTGCAAAGTCCTGACGAAACCAAGTCATCATGACACCAATTAATACTAAGATAAACGTAAAACTAGCAAAGTTCTCATTAGGCAACATCACCTCAAATGCGGTTCATGCCTTGTTCTGCTGAAGCTCCATCTCTGGTACTGGATTATTTAAAAAAAAAGATTTATTTTATTTTTATTGAAAAGTCAGATATATACATATACATACATATATATAGAGAGAGAGAGAGAGAGAGAAAGAGAGAAAGAGGAGAGACAGAGAGGAAGAACTTCTGTCCAACGTTTCACTCCCCAAGTGACTGCCACAGCCAGAGCTGGGCCAATCTAAAGCCAGGAGCCCAGAGCCTCTCCTAGGTCTTCCACATAGGTGCAGGGTCCCAAAGCTTTGGGCCGTCCTTAACTGATTTCCCAGGCCACAAGCAGGGAGCTGGATGGGAAGTGGGGCTATCAGGATTAGAACCTGAGCCCATATGGGATCCCGGTGTGTTCAAGGATAGGGCTTTAGCACCTAGGCCCCCACACTGGGCCCTGGTACTGATTTGTGAGTAGAAAATTGTTACATCGGTTGAGTTGCGACCCCCAGACTCGGGGCAGTAGCATCCAGGCCAAGGGCCTGTCAGTAGCCTGTGTGAGGAAGACACGGTGGCTGGTGTATGCAGCCTGCATTGTTGCCTGGGAGGCCCTGCTGTGCAGTGACTCAGCCTCCTACCTCCCTACTCCTTTGTTGGGACCACAGTGGAGTCTTCACTCAGAGTCTCTGTGGGTGTCCCTTGACCTTGAGTTGGCAGAGCGAAGATCTCAGCGCAAACCTGGTGCTGGCACTGGGATGGGATGCAGCACACCGGTAGAGGTGGGAGTGCACTTGATTCTGTGTGTGCTGACGTAGTGTCAGGTGTAGTCACTGAAGCTGAATATCCCTGGGAATCTGGGGCTGCAAGCTTAGGGAAGACTATCTTCCATGGAGCCCAGAACACGGGTACAAAACCAGTTTCTCTCATACATTGCAAAGTTAAAGGCCTAGTGTAAAGCCTTTGTTCTCTTGCCTTCTGTCCATCTGTCTGTTTAATTTTCCCATTGTTTTCAGCCCTTTTTTTTCTCCCTACTCTGGCTGTCTGCTTCTCTTCCTCTCACGCTCAGAACCACCCCTTGGGGAGGGCTAGGGTATTCTAGGCACACACATGCACCTCAAGCAGTTGGTGGAAAATGCAATGAAAAGAGAAGTAATTTGATGAGAAAATTTTGCAACACATGCACAGATTACTTTTTTATAATTCAATTTTTCATGCACTTTTTGAAGTCCCCTCTGGACCTTCCCTTTAGTCCCCATGTCATGTAGGGCCAGATGTTCAACCCCTGATAAAAATGGCATGGTATTTGCATATAACCCATATACATCCTCTCATATACTTTAAATCTTCTCTGGGTTACTGATAACACAGAACCTAATGTAAATGCTCTGCAGATAGTTAGGTTGTATTGTTTAAGGAATATTCACCAAAAAGAAATGCAGGGACGTAAAAATCTGCATACATTTATTCAGTAAATGCATATTGTTCTCCCAGACACTTGTTCCGTAGTTGGCTGAAGCGGGGACAGGGAAGGCCAACTGCAGTGGCTTTCTCTGGATTTCCGATTGGTTTTTGCTTCTAGTATTGCCTTCTCTTCCACACACCTGCTTGCTTTGTGGCTCACTTCAAGTGCAGATGCTCCCTTCCCCACACGCGTCTGTTTCTAATCTCTGCCTCCTCCTCATTTTTCTCCCCTGCTCCATTAGGATCTGTTTCAGGTACTGGCTCTACAATTACTCTTTATGTCCCCTCCATCTTCCTTCCCTTCCCCCAGGCACCCAAATCCTGGGTGAGTGTGTGTCTCCCTTTCCCAATGTCTTTACTGCCTTGCCCACCACCTGCTCTCCCTGGTCTTGCTTCTCTCTGTGCTCTCACTGCATCCCTTTGGCTCACCCAGTCACCCACCGTGATGCTTCAGATGGCCCAGTGATCAGGGACAGTGGCTTTGGAGGCAGGGAAGATGCCTGGCTTAGGATCCGTCTCATTGCCATTGCTTTCCCCCCCTCGTATCTCCCTCCTAGTCTGGTGCTGCTGGTCATCCTTAACATGATGCTCTTCTACAAGCTCTGGATGCTGGAATATACCACCCAGACCCTCACTGCCTGGCAGGGTCTGAGGCTCCAAGAAAGGTAATCCTGGGCTCATCCCGTTGTTCCCACCTCTGCCCACTCCCAGTGCTGTGTCCTGGCTCCTGCCTCCCAGTCTCCTCGAGGCTGCCCCATTGCCCTTGCCCCAGGGGAACACTTTGGGGGTTAGCCCCATGGGGGGGCTCTTGGAGACCCAAGGGGCAGTGAGTGGAGGACACAGCACTCTGATGTGACTCTCTGTCCTCTAGGGGTCTGGGAGCACAGGACAGTCCACTGAGCATAACTCCAGCTGCTGGGGTGCCCCTTCTTCTACCCCACAGGTTACCCCAGTCTCAGACAGAGTGGGCCCAGCTCTTAGAGTCTCAACAAAAGTATCATGATACTGAACTCCAAAAATGGAGAGAGATCATCAAATCCTCAGTGATGCTCCTTGACCAGGTGAGATGCCTGCCTCTTTTGCATCCGCAGCCTTTGTGAAAAGGATGGTGTGCTTTGGGCTTCCAGAAAGGCAACCACCCTCTCTGGACAACCCTCCAGATCTCCTCTCATCTAATCTTCTCCCAGCCATTTCTAAATGGGTTGTTAGAAATAATAACAATAAAATAACACACCAGATCTACAGCAGGGAAGCTATGGATTAGGAGAGAGAACTCGTGTGTGTGTGTGGGGAGAGGGATGGCGGGGGAGAGAGAGAGAGACAAAGGAAGACACAGGTAGTCATATTCATAAATGTAGGCCATTAAATGGAGAACCTCCCTCTACCTTCTTGGCAGGACAATCTTTAAAATTCTTTTTGTTACAAACCACTCCTCCCCAGTGCCCTCAAAGACACCCACCCCTGAGCTGGAGGTCTTCCTCAGTGGTGTGGCACTGACAGCTGGGGTGATTGTGCTGGCTTCATTTCATGTAAGTGTTGTGGTACATCTGCCCATAATCTCCCAAAGAATGGATCTAACTATTTAAGAAAATCATCTTGGAGCAAAATCAATGATGAGCTTAGGTTCCTTGAATGAAAGAGTCCCCTTCCCCCACCCGACTCCAGAAAAATTTAGTCTTTAGTGGGTGCGCCCTCCCCTGTGGTGTTGAAAGAAGATGACAGACAGGCCCAGGGTTTGAATTTCTGTTCCTAAGGTGATGTCCTTGTGATGCTTTGTCGTCAGTTGGACTTGAGGTGGAGTCCCAGTCTTGCCATTAACTAGTTCTGTGGCCTTGTGCAAGGGACCTAATATAGTGAACTTCACTTGTAAGTTTCTTCACTTACAAAACAGGAATTGGAGTTTGGACTTTGGAGCCATGATTAAGGAAGACATTTCCCCCGCTAAGTTGTACAAGGATAAACAATGAAATAAGAAGCTTGGAGACATAGTGCAGCAGGGTTGGTGGAATTAAATGTGCCTAGGAAAGGGGAACCATGAGCTGAAGAGAACTGGATGGTCTTCACATAACAACAGTTCTTGTGTTTAGAATTGTCCATCACTGTAATAAGTTATTTGGAGAATCAATGTCCAAGATTGAAACTGATCAAGGAATGACTAGGTGATAGGAATGATGGTGGAAGAGAAACTTAAGGTTTAAATGGAGGGGCACTTAGGGTGAGTGACATCGAGGAATTGTTCAACTCTGGAATTTTCCTTAAGGCTGAGTCCAGTGGATGTCAATTTTTATATTCCATTCCCTTTGCAAGTAGAGTTCAAAGCAACTGTAATGGACCACTTAGTCCTCTTGGGCAGAGCATGTAGAATAACCAGAGCAGAGTGTGGAAGAGCACGCAGAGAGAACAGAGGTTCTCATAATTCACAATGATTTACCCAGGATATGTGGTCATGTGTCATCACAGGGCAGCTTTCCCCAGAGACAATATTGAAATGCATTATGCTGTGATGGGCCATCTTGCAGTCCTTCTACTGGAACAACCTCTATTTAGATGCCACCCTTCCACTGAAACATGTTAATTCACTGACTTGGGTACAAGTGAAAAGTTTACTCTGTCTCTGCTTGGTACTGTTAGCTACCAAAGGAGGAATAACACCATTCTGGTCCCAAGCATAAGAAACAAAGCAGTTAGGGGTGACTGCTGTCCAGAACCCCTACTGTGTGGCGTATGAGTGGCAAAGAGAGGGAAAGACAATCGGCAGCCGAGAATGTTTACCTTTGTTCTGGGCCTTAACAGACAGGTGAGACTGAAGTAAGGCAGAGTGGAAATATTAACAGCGTGGCAACACATACCGTATGCTGAATGTCCATGAGGAAAGCACAAAGAATAAATAGAAAATAAAGTAGATTCCAGTCCAGCAGGGCTTTTTACAGCATTCATGCTGAGAGAACTCTGAATCCAATGGTAACCAGGGTTGTGTGTCACAGGGATAGAGTGAACCTTTCCTGGGGGTTGGGAGTAGGGAGTCCCAGTGTGGGATTGGCTGTCCCCTTTCTCTGCAAATCACTGCTCTGAGACATGGTCAGGGTCGGGGGTGGAGGATGGGATGCTGAGTGTGGCGAGTGCTGCTGGGAGGGGAAATTCACTGAGGGTACAGCCCTGACCCTAGCGTGGGGGTTCCCTGTCTTGCAGATGAAGGACTCCCTCATCAATCTTCAGAATGGCATCAGGTCACGTGACTACACATCGGAAAGCGAAGAGAAGAGGAACCGCTATCATTGACAAGGCAGGAACAGGGGTGGCTGCAAGCAGCCTGTGCAATACATGTACATAGACCATATAAATATATATATAAATATATATATATACAGAATATAAATATATATATATTATATACAGATTTTAAAAAGAGATGACGCCTATGTACCAGGGAGAAGGAGCGGGCCCTCCCGCCCCTGTGCCGGCTGGAGCAGTGCTGTCCCTGATGGAGGAGCCGAGGAGGGCAGGGAGCACCTCTCAGCACCGACCTCCCCTCCGTTCCCTTCCCCTTTCCCTTGCTGGCCATTCTTGGCTCTTAGAAGGGAAATGTTGTTGAGCCAAAGTCACGCCTGTGAAAACCCGAGGGTCTTGGAATCTCAAGGGGGCATTGCTTAAGGTGCTTCATTCCTTAATCCGCTTTTGATTTGTTCCCCCAAATAAAAAGAGAATCTTTTCCTCCCCTAACCCACACTTCCCCAGATGTTCTCTTGGGAACACGGAAGTATCAAAGGCTGGTGCCTAGTCTAAACTCTTCTGCGGGAGGCCGCCCCCAGATCCAGACCCGTGCGCTGGGAGCCAGGTGGAGAGGGCTGTTGGATAAACTAGTGAGGCTGCCTTTGTGGGTTTTGGGTTTAAGAGCTGCAGGCTCCTGTGGTCTTGTTCCAAAGGGCATTTTTCCTCCATCACCCCTGCACCTTTCTCGGACCTGTGTAGGGTGTGGACCCATTAAGGGCTGGGAATTCCTGACTTTCCCTCTCCCTTTCTCTCTGGTCTTCTCCCAGGCTGGTTCTGGGAGAAGTGTCACTTTTTTAGTGCCTAAAGTCCTGTTATTTCTCTGTGCCCTAAGAGCACATTGTTTATGAGCCAGGGCTTGTTAAACCTCTTTGTAGTGGTTATGAACAAGTCGGGTCTGTGGCTGCAATTCCTTCACTTTGAGCTGTGAATTTGATTTTCAGGATGAATTGGGTGTCTGAGTCCCTGCAGGGTCTGACTGAGCGAGCAAGCGGGAGAGAGAAGGAGAGAGTGCCCCAGTATGTGGATTGCTGAATTTGTTTAGACGCTGAGCAGTGAGCACCACAGTCAGGCTGTGCAATTAGTTGCTGGTGTCACTCCTTCTTGGTGAAGAGCCCACCTCAGACAGTGGAGATAACCATCTTAGAAGCATTGCACTTGGCACGGAAGATCCTGAACAGATGGGTTTTGGTTAGAAGTGCATGGTTTAGGCAGGAAAAGACCAGATAGGTTCAGGCTTTCTGACCCCATGTGGGTTGTTCTGAATTCTGAGACTCAGAGGAAGGAGAGGGGTTGCTGGGTGAGATCCTTTCGTGGCCCCAGGCTAGCATAAGGTCGCTGAAGAGTCCAGAGAAGATGCTGCGTAGAAGAATGAGCCACGCAGGGCCTTTGCAGGATGGGCCTGCAGAGATCCGCGCATTTATGTGACCGAGTGGGCCTGCCTAGGCACATTCACACCCTTTCATACACTCATTACTGTTTCTTCACATTATGACCACTCCTGTCGGGCGCCCGGCAGAGCTCATGGAGACTCTGCAATGAGGAAAGACTCAGTGGATTTGATTTGGAGAATCTTTTCCCATGTCTGCTTCTTCTGAGTATCTTGATGCAAGGGACAGAAGGGACCCCAGAACCCCAGACGTCCGAAGCAAATAAGCACAAAGGAGGGAAAGTAGTTTTTTGTTTTGTTTTCTCGTTGATTTACCCCAAAGTGAAAGAATGGCTCTTAGAATGGCTAGGACATCCCACTTTGGCAAAAATAAAGAAAGGGAAAGAAATTTTTCGACTTGTGAAGAAAAATGCCTTGGTATCTCGCTAGGGCAAAATTCATTATGCTCAGGTCATCCTCCATGGGAGGAAGATGAAAAGGTCAGCTGGGATTGGTGTCTGTCCCTCACCTAAACAAGGAGAGACGTCATTCTTGGGAAGGCGCATGCTCCCAGAGCCCAGCTGGCCATCCAAGACTTGGAGTCGGAGATTCTGGGGAAGGATTGAGGCTAAAGGACCTTGACACCGAGAAGGAGGAATTGCTAGGAATGTCCCCTTTGTTTCTAGAAACTTTTTGAAAGCAGAACCCGGTGAATTTTCAAATGTGTTTCCTACATGGTTATTTACTTAAGTGATCCAGTATTAAGGCGGCCATGGTACCTCTGGGATGCCTTGAGAGGTGTTCTGTGCTGGTATGGAGTGGAGGATGTCGACCTGGCCGCAGAGAGCTGCGCTGTTTGTGCCTCCCTGCTCGGGCCCCTTTGAGGGAGGGATAGGCCCAGGGAAGGCCGTTCCTTACATGTCCAACGAGCCTGTGTTTTTATGCTGGGGCCAGGAGACAGTTCCCGCACATTGAGAATGCCCACTAAGAACTGAGGCTCTCTGATGGGCTCTCTCTGTTCTAATGGAATTTTGACTGTCATGCCGGAAGAAGACCAACAACTCTATTCATCTCCGGACAGAATCATTTCTGTGCTAGTTCTTAACTCCTGGCGAGTAGCCTGGCTGGTAGGTATCTGCCAGATAATGTGAAAACCACCACTTCCTGTGTTCACTTCTTCCAGCCAATCTTTTTTTTTTCCCCCCTTGGGGGTAGGGTGGGGAGTGAGGGTGGGTGAAAGTGGGTTTTTATATAAAAATGCTGGACTCTCATTGATTTTATTTTAGGTTTTCTAGGCAGATGAACAGTGACAGGGTTCACTCCAACATAGCGTGGAGGACTAGATCAGATTGGCTTTGCAGAAGCCAACCATGTCTGTCATTTTCCTCTTTCCCCATGCACCTCCCTGGGTGTAGGGGACCACATGTAAGGCCAGAGGATCGGTCATCTGGTGGTAGAGTCCACAGAGGACTGGACTGAGAGATGGGAGAGCTGGGCGCAGGTCCTGCCTCTGCCACTAAGTACTTCTGTGGCCTTGGACAAATCACTCTCCGGACATTCGGGCTCCTACTCAAACAGGAAGGGGCTGGGTTAGATGACTCTTGAGTAGGTCTAGCTTTGGCATTGTGCTGGAGGTTAGGCCAGAGACTGGGTGTTCTCAGAAGTCTTATGTGGTGTTCTGCCACGGTAGGCGCAAGCTTGCAGGGCCAGAGTTTCCCTAAGTAGCCAGCGGGCAATAGAGCACTGTGTGGGTTCCTAGGAAACCCAAGGGAGCTAAAAATTAAGAAGGCTGAGAGGACTAAGGCAGCTCAGTAGCAGAAGAAATCAAGCTTGCTGCATTGCTCAGTATTAAGGAAGGGCGTTTCTTTAGTTTTAAGTTAGGGAAGGGACCTTTCTTTGAGGGCAGTGGTGAAAGAGCATCATCTTGGATTGAGCCCATCTTTCATCTCTGCACATTGTAGAGCCTTTCACATACCCGTCCCCCTTCAGTGGCAGCAGACACAGTAGAGAAGCCATTTCCGGCTCCTGACACTTTTCCTCAGTCTCCACCAAAACCCTCCGGGGATTTGCAGGGCAGATAAAAGTTTGACTGAAGTCCTTGGGTTGTCTTTGATCCCCAATACAAAAAACCTGGTATTGCAAAGAGAACCAAGAGACACCAAGAGGAACATTCTGCTGGGGAAGTGGGTTCTCTCCATGTCCGTGTCCCTTACCCAAGCTTGGACTGCACCTGTTACATTTGTAGGCACCTCTTATCTCTAAGATAAGATCTTGGGAGAAAGAACTAGGGGAAGAATCTGTCTGGACTAGTAGAAGGGTCCTTTGAATGCCATACCATTCCACTTCATTGGCACTGCAGGGTAGCCAAAGCAGCCACTCCTCCTCATGTTCCTCAGGTGGCAGGACTGTGATTTGCCTTCCTACAGCCCCCGATCTTGCCCACCCATTCTCATAGGACTCTGAAAAGCCCCTCTTCCTAATTCTCTCCCACCTCACCCCTTGTCTCTAGGCGGTGGGACAATCATCCCATTTCCCCCTTGACACCTTTGACCATTATGCCCAACCTCCAGCAGGCTGGCCCCACGCCCTTCCACCTCTGTGGTTTCTTCCAGATGTGTTTTTGGTCCCAGAGGAATGTGTTTCTGGAAGGCCATCTCTTACCACGCCTACAGTTCTGGTGTGGAGCAGGAACTTGCCCACGGCATAGGGAGCTCCCAGTCCCACCTCTCTGCCCAGCATCGTTACCTCACTCCTGCTCCAGCCTTGGCTGCGAAGGGCCCAGCCAGCTTCCTGCTTGGATTCTCTGTGTGACAGCTCAGGTGTCTTGTGACTCGAGGTCCTCAGCAGGCCTGGGAGCCTGGACTGTGCTGCTCGTGAGATGCACCTTACCTGCCAAGAGGAGTGGATGCCAGATGGTCTCCCCAACATACGAAGGCCTGAAGGACATTGACATCTCTGCCCCTTGGCCCTCCTTCCTTCTCTGAACGCAAGACATTGCAGAAGCAAAAGAGTGGCCTCTGCTTCAAGCAGGACAATTGGTTCTGTCTGGGAAGCTGGCCCTGGGCTTGGGTGCTGTGTGCTCAGATTGCATTGGAAAAACAACCACTTTTTTTTTTTTTTTTCTTTTGCCAACAGGAGTGTGTGGCTCCCCACATCCCCTTACCTTGCATTCTAGGGCCAGACCACTCTCTGCATGGACCAGACCATCTTCCCAAACCCATGGTGCTTTTTCCCCCCTACTCAACCTAGACTCCAAGGCGGGGAGAGAAGGGTCAGAAGGCATAATGGCTACTGGATGAACCTGACATAGCGGGTGGAGTGGAGTGGAGCGAGGCAGAGGGAAGAGCCCCTGACACTTGCACTGGGCCACTTAGGGAAAAAAAATGCAGGTTGATTGCAGTCGAGTTGTCTGGCCTTCGGTATTTGGATCTATAACTGTACTTTGCCTGGCGCTGTGCGCAAGGTCTGAAAACTTATTGCTAGTACCTAGAAACATACAAGGCGACCCAGCCAAATCTTTATGTAAAGTAGCTAGAGCCATGAAAGTACAGTATGAATTAAAAGAAAAAGTATTGAATTACAAACAATAAGTGTTGTGTGTATTTATTGCTTGGTTCATCAGTGCTCATTGTCTCCGATGTTTCTGGTCTTCCCAGCCATGTTCACAGAGAGTTCTCTGTGCTGTGTGCAGGTGTGTTTGTACAAGTCTACCTGCTACTCCCTGCAGAGGTTCGAGAAGCAGCCTGAGCCACTAGGGCAGATAGGAGGCGTGGAATCGGACAGACCTGCACACAGACTGCTGTCCTGCTGTTCACTAGCTCTGTGACCCTGGGCTCATCGGTCACCTCAGGACTTAGTGTGTTAGAGATGTTGTTTTTGTTTTTTTAAAGCACACATACTCTAGATCTTCAGAAAGTTCTTGGGAATGCATATCATGAAAAAGCTGTGCATGGATTTTAACACTTTTTTTTTTTCACCCTAAAAAGGAACTTACCTTTTAGTTTCATTTTGCATGAACTTTAGAGAATACTCATTTATCTGACAAGGCAAAGAGGTTGCAGGGGGAGATGTGCCACGCACTGGTTCACACCTCAGTGCTCACAACAGCCACAGCTGAGTCAGCCTGATGGCAGAGGCCCAGCTACTTGAGCCCTTGCCCACTGTCTCCCATGGTGTGCACTAGCAAGAAGCTGAAGCTGGCAGTGGATCTGGCTTAAACCCAGATGCTTCAAGTTGACATGCAGTTAGCTGCCCATCCATGAACTTTGTTGAGATCCCTCGTATAGCTTAGTATGACAGTGGTTAGGATTACACTAAGATGATTTTTTCAATGTCTTTTTAATTAGTACTGTTATTACTATTGGATGTAATGATCTGATGACAGTTTCTTGTTCGATTTTTCTTTTTCCTTGTAAGATCCAGGAAGTTGGACACTGGGAGATGGCTTTGCCTAACTGCCATATATGTTGCCTAAACTGGTGGAACTGAGAGCCAGTGTAATGTCTCCCTTCATTGGGTTAAGAAACTTGTAGGAACACAAGTGACTCTTGGATTTAGTTGTGTCTGGGTAGAGGAGAAAGGCAGAGGGTAGAAGCTAGATCACATAAGCGGCCTATGTCTACATACCTCTAGACTGTGAAATATGTTCTCTATTCTCTGGGCATGTATCATCTCATTGAGCATGGAGACTGAGTCAGGGTGGGGTGTGTAGCAGATACATGGAGTATGAACAGCAAAACCAGCCAAGTGGTTTTCAGAGACATTTTTATTGACATGAATTAGGAGTTTACTGGAAAAATGCTACACACAAACATTAGGTTGTCAAGGGCTCAGGTGGTCTGGAAGAACATTTCTAGAGTTCAGAAAAAGATTGGCTGTGGAAAATCAAGAAAAAAGCAAATATGAAGGTGACAATGTATGGGGTGGTTCTGTTGCAAGACTAGGAATTTTCTAATGTTCAAAGGCATTTTTACAAAGTTGAGAGCATATATCCCTTAGTAGCCTCCCTCCACATCACACACACACTGCCCACTAGGTGCGGCTCATGCCCAGCAGTGACACGAGGAACAAGGACAGAACATGACCAGTTCGGAGCTTTGGCTGATGTGGAGATCTGTGACTTGGACTTGCTTAGCCGTGCTTATCTACTGGTTCCTAGTGAAGGAAGTTGGCTGAACTAAATACGAATATCTACCATGTGATCATCTGGAGATTAAGTGAGGTTTGGATAAAGCCGCTTTTCAAACCTAAAGACCTTAGGTCACACGGAGGGTCTAGGCTCATGCTTGACTCATGGGTGCTCATTTGCAGCATGAATGGATGAGTGACTCACGGGCACACTGAGAACTGTTTGGACATATGTGCAATTATTTGGTTAGGGCTTTTCTGATTCATAACATGAGATGAGGAGGAATTTGAGTTTTTATAAATGTCCGTATGAACTAGAAGAGGGAAGCAAGATCCACCTGATTTTTTAACTCTCACTTTTCCCTCTTCCTGCTGATTCCGAGTTGGGTGTTCTCCTTTTGGTTCAAAGGAGAGATGTGTTTCTTATCTTAACCATTGACTGCTCATCACATTTCCCAGCACATTTCTGCTTAGAAAAATTCCTTTCCTACTAACATTTTTTGTTAAAGATCAGACCCTTAGAAGGACTGTTTGGGTATGTCAATGTTTGTGACTCCAAACTAAGGGATAGTTGTGTTAAAAGAGAATGAAGCTAAAGGCTGGAATAGGGACCATCACTAACTGAAAAAGTATTTCCACACAAGATTGGAAGACTAACTAAAAACTAACTAAAAGATGGAGCTGACAGGACAGGTCAATAGCACAAGTTGCTCCCAGGACCCACAAAGTTGAGCAATCAATCAAGTTCATGGCTATGAAGCAGTAACTAAGGGAAGGTCAGACCCAATCTAACTTAACCTTTAGTAAATTGTGTCATTGGAGACCAGTCAAGGGAAATATCCAGCACCAAAACAACAGATGGGGTTTCTAAAGTGATAATAGCCCTTTGAGGACTCTTCTTATTATAAGCCCTTTAATAAGCAACCATATGCCAAATAGTTTCAAAAGCTACATACATTTAGTCTGGGTCTTTCAAAGGAATATACGGAGAACCAGAGATGTGGGACAAACTGAAGTGGGCTGGTGACCACAGTACCTTCTATCTGCAGTCACCATCATCAAGTCTCCCAGGAAGGAGGTGCATTGCAGTTCAAGAGAAATGAGGATGTACAAACCAACCAGAGAGACAACCAAAACAAGGTTAATTTTCAAAATACATGTCTAGCATCTGCCAAGAAGCAGCATTAGGGAAGCAAGAGTGGGATTAGAGTGAGAGAAGATAACATCAGAGCAGTATGAAAGGCAAAGACTGAATAGAAATGTCAAAGGTAAAGGAACAGGGCATAATCTAAGTGGATAGAGTGGCTATGAACTGGGCAGGGAGTCTGAAGACCTGCATTCTAGCTTGATTTGGCAATCAATGTGACCTTGGATTTAGTAAAGCTATTTAACTTTGGACATATATCATGAGGATAACAAATGCCACCTTGCAGGACTGGCTGTGGACAATTAAATAATTGTAGTGAAAAAATTTTTCACAAATCATATAGCTCTAATGAAACTATCAAGGATAAAGAAGAGTTTTAAAAAAAACCCAAAAAATAGGGATGTATGCCTGATAGATACCATTCAACTTCATTAAAACATCACTCAAGAAACACTTTTTTTTTTTTTTTAGTAGAAAAGAGTAAAAGGCAGACATGCATACTACATGGGTGTAAGTTAGATGCAGGCTCCGCTGAGACTAAGACGGAAGTGAAGGGATGAGAAGTAGCCCACTGCTGCAGTGAGCCCCAGCATCCACAGGTTGTACGGGGAAATGAACTCGAAGGAAAATGTCCTATATTCTCATTCCCTACTTAGGAGGGATTCTGTAGGAAATTACCCACAACAAGGGTCTTGAATTTACTACAAATATTTTCTTGAACAGAGTCTAATATGTGTTAAAGATATGATGTCCAATATATCCCTAGGGATGAAGAGATGAAAAAAAAATGAGCTTTCCAGGACCCAAAGTCAGTGCAGAGTGGTCTTTTCCCTGTAACTTCCTAGACCTAAAGGGCCAATGGCTCTTTCGTTGAACTCCAGTCACGTTTTATCTTCTTGTAATTCATAAAGTCCCTTCTCCTCTGGTGACCACATGCTGAAAGATATCACACTTGGGCCAACTAGAATGAAACAGGAGATGTTGACTAATGGTTCCCACTGTTTGTCTACTCCCTCATAGTCTGGAAGAAAAAGTCACAATATGACTTCAGAGACAAAGTGCTTGGAAGCCTCCTCCACCTCCCTCCCTCTGGCTCCCCTGCTCCCCCACCCATCTCAGATGTATATCCCATTCACAAATGTTTGCACTGAGGAAATTTTTTGTGTCCACCTTATGTCCTTCTCCATGGTGTGATTTTTTTTTTTTTTTGGCCAGTTTCTTATAACCTACATATAATCAGAGCTGACCTCAGCCAGGCAGTCTGCCCTCCTCTGGGTTTGTAAAAGAGAGCTAGCCATAGATAGCCATGCTCAAAATCAAAGTCCTTATTAAAACAAAATGGTCCATGCTGGGGAGTCCTCTGGGCAGTGCCTAACCCTTCTCTCTGTTCCAGTTGATCTGTTACTCACGTGAGCCCTGTGTAAGTCTCAGTTGCTTCCTATAAAATGAGGAATAATACTGATTCACAGAAATGTGTAAAGGAAGACCTTAGGAATTTCAGCCCTAGTGCCCAGGTGTCTCCTGCAGGAGGGCACAGACACGTGATCTCAATAGGACCAGGAACGTGTTGTGTGGCTTTTAGGAGCCACTTTGAATGCCTTCGATCCTTCTCAGGCTCCTGTCTTTGTCTTCTTGGAAGGACTGAGTCTAACCCAGGTCTCAGAGATGCAGCAGGGCGCAGCCTTAGGAAACTAAGCTGCAGAGAACATGTTAGTCCGTGCATAAGGATTTAGGGAACCTGAACAGAGATGCTTTGTTCTGGTACTCTGGCCCAGTGGGCCAGGAACTTGGAAACACTGATGTCAAGAAATCCAAGTGTATGACATGGTTTTGCTTTAATCCAAACTCATCATTCCCATTTCCTTCTATTTAGACATCCATCTTCTCGCAGCAATGGAGAATGAGCATTCCAGCCAGTGAGGGCCAGAGACAGGTGATACCTCTAGTCATTTGGAGCTCAAGGCAGAAATCCAGCTGGCAGAAGAGCTTCTTGCTTGAAAGCTAGAACAGGGAGAAGTTGAGTCTGTGTAGAAATGTTGGTTCCTCAGTTCTGGCCAAATCTTAGGGTGCGTAGAGATCTGACAGAGTTGGGAGGTCAGAGGTGAAAGCTTGGGGTAGGTAGATGTGTGGATGAAGTGGAGGATGGATACAGGAAGGGAAGTGATGGGGCCCGCACCCTCCTGATGCTGTTGACATCACTGAACTTGGGAGATCCAGTCTCTCAGTTTTCACGCCACCTACCTACAACAAAACAACACACTGAAAATTTCCAATCCGGTCTAGTCCATTCCAGCCCCAAAATTCACTGACCGAATGAGGGAATGATGAGGCTTCTGTTACTAGGGGTAAGGAGTTGAGGTTTTTCCAAGACTGAGGCCAAGGCAGTTCATCCTCGGAAGGGCTTCATGTTGTACAGAGCCTTTTGATGACTTGGGCATCAGTGTAAGGAGTACCCTTGAGTGTGGGAACATGGGCCAAGCAGGAATAAATTTAAGGTACCAAGGTTCAAGCCACTTGAGCTGTCTGCTACCCATGTTCTTCACCTTCCCTTCCCAAGCTCCTCTACATCACCTCATGTTGTAACTGCTTCTTTTCTACTCCTCCACTGGGACCGCAGCATTCTCCTTGTTCTCTGAAGGGATGGCAAGATAGTCAGACCTAAAGGAGGACACAGTGGGGGAAGTGTGTCAGTACTTCAATATCCAGTTGGGAGAAAAGAGGGGATCCTGGGAAAGGGGGAGCAGGGTACAGGAACAAGGATGTGTACAAAAGCCACTTGCCCCTGTGTTGTCCAAGGCCCTGTCGGCATATCCCAACACCACCTCCTCCTGCCTTTGTGCCTGAGCACTCCAACCAGCAGTGCCTGGCTTCCTCCTTGCATTGTCTTCAGGACTTAGTATATGTTAGGTTAAGAGGTTGGCCAAACTGATGGGTAAGACATACTCTTCCACACTAACGTTCATGTTCATTTCCCTGATCTCTGCTGACATTGAGCATCTTTTCACGTTTAGCAGTTCTCTGGCCTCCTATTTCTATACTCTTTTTTTTTTTTTATGCCAATTTTTCTTCTGAGATTTTTTTTCCTCATTGATTTTTCTTTGATGGTTTCATGTCTCTCCAAGTTGGTTATCTGTCTTTAAATTTGCTTAGTGGTTCCTATAGAAAGCAATTGATTTTTTGTACATAATGTGGTTGGATTTACGATGTTGTGCCTTTGTATTCCATTGTAATGGATGTCCTTTGTTACAGCTCATCCTTTTCTATCTGTACTTTAATACTGTGTAACTTCCTCACATTTTTCTTCTGGTTGCCAATCATCTATTGAGCCAGTAACTGAGTTTTAAGTCATACTGACCATCTTTTTGACTTTTGTGGAATTTTTGTTGTTGTTCCTAATTTGTGCTTTTTTTTTCTCCTGCTGTAGCAATTTACTTTCTTCTTGTGCTTTTGATTCTTCCAGTTACTGCTGTGTTTTAAGCAAACTTACTTTATGGATGTATCAAGCCCTTCTGGGGTTGAGCTTCCTGGGACTGGGCCCTGCTGTCTGCAGGCTGTTGGCTGTGATGCAACAGGCTTGCGACTGGATTGTGAATCTGATGCAACAGTGCTGCACCCACAGAACCGGTTAAGCTTCAACTGAGAGCAGGGTCCCCTCAGGATGGCTCTGCATCTGCTTCTGTAAAACACTGATGCTGATCACTGGCTGGGAATTGGTTCTTAGCGAGTTCCACGGCTTATGTGGTCCCTGAATTACGTGGCTAGCTGGTATAAAGGTAAATGCCAAACATTGTGAGAGCAGGTATGGAGACTAATTGACAGAATCTTCCATTCTTACGGCTGGAGTCAGACGAAGTTAGATTTCTTGGTGTTTCCCTGGGCTAGTGGACTGATGATTCCCGGTCCTCCTGGGTGTGAGCTGGAGCCTTCTGAGCTCCTCGCTTTGCTGAGAGCCTCAGTTCCAACTGTACTTCTTGTTGTGACCCTGACTATGGGCACTTCCAGTTCAAATCCTAAAGTCGCAGCACCAGGTCACCACCAGCAATTTCAGTCTCCCTCAGAATAATACTCCTCATCTTTAAAGCAACATATGCTTTGTCCACTTTAGCAAAGATTTCTAGGTGGTAACAGCCTTACCCCATGAATGTGACTAGGAATCTGTGGGGGAGTTGTGTCTGCCTTTCCTTCCTCAATGTGATATCTCAGCCTCCGTCAGTTCTAACATGTGCTCATTCCGGTCTTGGAGACAGTGGCGGTAATACTGTCTGGCCCTTGATTCACAGGGCCTATACCCTGGGTATTAAATCCCCACCAGATTCTACAAGGAGCAACACGTTGCCTGGAGCTCTTCAGCTGTGAAAGGGCTGGGCTCAAGTGGTCTGATGGGCTCTGGTGCACCATGCACAGCTGCATGTAACATCAAAAGGATTCAGATTCCAGGCTCTCCACTCACCACGTGGCCTCAGCAGCCCACTTCCCTCTGTGACCTTGCTTCAGCATTTATAAAAGGCTGTAACAATGCTAGCTTCATGGAATTCTGGCAAATGAGGGTCTTTGCCCCTGTTGAACAGAGGTCAACAGTCAGCAAATCTGAATGAAGAGCTCGTTTTACCTTTTCCAATGGCCTCAGGAAAACTGTCAGACTCGGGGTTCTTCTATAAAAAATGGGCGTTGTTGTTAGGACAAGGTGGAGGATGAGGATGTATGTGAGTGCTTAAGCAGCTCACCTGGAACAGCAAGCATCCCGAATGGGACACCATTCCCTTGGCATCGTTGGACTTACGCGTTTTCTTGCGCTGCTTCTTCGGCCTTTGAGACCTTTCTGTAGCAATAAACCATCTCTATGAGCAACCACAGGGTGAGGAAGACCAGTAGGATGTACATCATGATCTCTGAGACCACAGAGGTGAAGTCCTCACCGGCTGTAACGAGAATGAGGATCAGAACAGGCAGGGCATGGATCCCCAGAAACAGGGCTGCCACTGGGGACACAGCTGTGAGGCCCATTGTTAAGGATGGACTAAGGAAGAACAGTGTTAAAAGGAAATCAGGAGCATACTAAAGGATTTTCATGTCCTCTGGCTGTCCTGCTGTAGGCTGTCTCACTTCACTGCCCACTCTGGCAATAAAGGTGCGGGAATGTGCTGGGGGGAAGGTACAGCTTGGCAGCAGAAGGAATCCTGGACTCTAAGTAAGATAAGTAGCTGACAGCCCTCACTTCCATGGCTTCCACATCCACATGTTCAACCAGTCATAGCTTAAAGGGAAAACTGCAGCCAGGGCTGGGCCAGAACTCAATCAATGTCTCCCTTGTAGACAGCTCCTATCTTCTGCTGCCTCCAAGGATACATCAGTAGGAAGCTCAATTCGAAGCATAGGAGCTCATGTGGGATGCGGGGTCACAAACAGCAGCTGGACATGCTGCACCACCTCACCTGCTCCCTGCAGCTCTGTTTCTAAAGTGCAGAATGGGTTCTGCAACTTGGTGCTCCATGCTGCCCCAGGGTCAAGCAGTCACCTCCACTCCTGCCAGCTCCCACCAGTAAATTAGACTCTTAGTCCAGCATTATCCCTAGGGCACAGGCCAGCCTTGCTTGTAAAGCCCACAGCACATCTGGGGTGTGTGTTTGGCCTGGTGGTGGTTAAGACCTACGTTCTACACCCGAATGCCCGGGTTGTATGTGCTCCTGATTTAGCTTTCCGCCAGGGCACCCCTAGGAGGTAGTGGTGATGGCTCAAGTACTTGGGTGCCTTCCATCTATGTGAAAGGCCTGGATTGAGTTCCTGGCTGCTGACTTGAGCCTGGCCCAGGAATGGACTAGGACCGGAGGAATGGAGAGGTTGGCAGGGCTCATCAGGAACAATGGGAGGCAGTAAGCATCAGGTGGGCAGGGCTATCCCAGGATCACAGAGGCCAAAAGGGAAAGGAGAGTGGCAGAGAAGGAATCGATGCATTGGGAATAGAACCGCCCTGATTAGCAGAAAAATCTGCATTCCAGATTTCCTGCTTCTGGTGCTAGCTGCTTCATATCCCAAGCCAATCTCCCTCCCCTGCAGAACTCTGTCTTCCCAGCCATGAACTGAAAGGCATCATGGCTGCACCTTCTCATCACCTGAGGGGACCTCGCCTCAAACTCAGACCTGCAAGTCTGAGGTCCCCCTGGATTAAGTGACATCCAAACTTCATTCCAGCCAGATCATCCACGAGGCACTGTGGCTCCTGTTAAAAAGCTGCTTTCCTTTCCCTCCTTACCCATCTCGCCCTGATGCCTGGCAGGTGACCACCTGAGCTCTGCCACACTTTCAACCAGCTGGGGGCAAAAACCTGAGGGAACAGCAAGTGGAGAAAATGGGCTCCTTCCAAGGCCTGGCAGGTACCAGTCAACAGTTCCTAACAATGATCAGGAGAGGGCGCCAAGTAGGAAGGAGCTCTGGGTAAACAAGTAGCTGTCAGCCCTTCCGAACTGGGAGCTTCCAGTCCCACCCTTTGCCTTGGACCAGAGGAGCCTGGCTCAGAGGGGGCGGTGACTCATCAGACACTCCATGCAAGGAGCTCAAAGACCTTTGTGCCTCTGAGAACTGACCTACTCCCCATTTTAGTCATTCTAACTGGTTGCATCTTTCTCATCATTCACTCTCAAGACTTAAGTAATTTTCTGTCTCCCAAGGACATGCTAAAACATAAATAAATAACTAAACTAGTGGCCTGGGGGACGTTAGTATTCCTTTCATTAACTTCATATTCACTGGCCTGCTCATCGGCCTGCATCTCAAGCAGCAATGATGCTGAGAACAAGCTCAAAATAGAGCAAGAGGGGCTCAAATAAAAATGGAACTAGCTGAGAGCTTAGGCAAGAAAACCCAAAGCAGGATGCACTGGGAGGGGCCGAGGGCTCTGTGCTCTGAGCCCATTGACAGCGGAGCCAAGAGCAACCTCAGCCAAGCGTCAGAGCATCCTCCACGCCTGCCCTCAAGATTCTGGGCTCAGACTGCAAAGGGCTTCCCACTCACCAACCAAGCAGCTGCTGTGGGAGTTTGTGAGAATTTTCAGTTAAAAACTAGAGAGCTAACACTTGTTCCTGTCTCCCAGGCAAGTGTGAACCTAAGGAAAGATCAGGAAGGAAGGCATTGCGGGGTTGGTGACAAAGAGCCTGCAGAACTTTGGTCTTGGACAGTGGCTCTCATCGGATGGCATCGCTTGGTGTTTGCTAGACAGTGTGACATTCTTGGGCTCCGATTGCAAAATTTGGCACCTAGTAAGGAGAGTTGGGGTTGGCTCAAGTGTGAAAGCCAGTGATTTAGACAGCAGCACCATGACTTTTAGCTAACTTCATGGGATTTCTCTGAGCCCACTGAGTCGGGGTTCAGCACAGACCTGAGAGGAAGGTGGAGCTAAATCAGTACCTGTAGGCTTCGTCGGGACTCCCTTCTCCCCAGGCACCAGGAAGAGCTCAATCCACTACCATCTCCAAGCCTGCCAGTTTTGAGGAAAGGCAGACTTTGACCAGACAAACCCATCAGGCTGTTTGTGGAAAGCTGACTAGAAACCCAAGTTTTTGCATTCTTCAGGGGTCTCTCCTGTGTGGAAACCTATGGTCCTACTGCCACTTCCCCAACCCAGCCCCAGACAGCAGGGCACCCTAGAGACCCTGAGTCGTAGTCTCACCCTCCTCCGTGACGCGGAGAGGGATCAGCCGCGTGGTCTTCACAAAGGGCCGGTGCGCCTCAAACTCAAACTCCCGGGACACGTTACAGGTGTAGAGGCCGGAGTCATTGAGCGTGACGTTGAGCACAGTGATGGACACATCCTGCAGGTCCTTACTCCCGTTCCACTGCAGGCGCCCCTGGAAGGGGCTCTCCACCTCTTGGTGGCCGTTTCGGTATTCGTAGATCTGCAGGTGGAGAAGCAGGAGGAGGATAGAGCCCAAGAAGAGACAGAGAGGGGCAGCAAAATGGGACCAGGCTAGGGTAGAATTGCAGGTAGACGGGGGTAGGAGGGAGGACAGAGGACACACTGGGAAACCTAGAATTTCGGGGAGAAAATGAAGAGAGCAGCAAAGAACGAAGATGAATAAAGATGGGCAGTGGAACTGGCATCATGGTGCAGCAAGTTAGGCCACCCCCTTGAGGTCGCAGTTCCCTGCTAACGTGCCTAGGAAGGCAGTACAAGATGGGTCAGGTGTTTGGGGCCCTGTTGCCCACATGGGAAGCCCAGATGGAGTTCTGCGCTCCAGGCTTCTGCCTGACCCCAGCCCTTGTGGCTTTTTGGAGAGTGAACCAGTGGATGGAAAATCTCTGTCACTCTTTCAAATAAATAAAATAAATCTTGGAGAAAAAAAGAAAAGTAAAGGGAATGAGTTAGCAAAAGTCATTTCTACCCTGCACTGTCTCCATTAAAAGGAGCTACTGGCCCCAGAATGCTGGTGTGGCATAATGAAACGCACCTTGTAACTGCTGTGGAATACACACTGTCCACTACCCTAACCTCTCCCAGCCTGTTTCTTCCTTTCTGTGGAATATCTCATTTCTCCAGCAAACACTTGGAACAATGCTTACTCATACTCCAGAAACTACTTTTTGTTAACCCAGAGATGCATGGCTCATGAGTCCTGGTAACAATGCTGTAAGGCAGCTACAGTGTACATTCCTATTCTGCAAATGAGAAACTGAGGCAGACAGTGGTTGAAGCAAGTGTTCAAGGGCACAGCACGAAGTGTGGAGGCAGGAATCCAACCCTGGAAATTTATCCCCGGGGTCAGTGGAAGTGTAAATAATGGCCTTCTCCAAAGTGGAATTAAAAACAGATGACAACCACATCATCCCTGACGTAGACCGATCAGATCTGACGTTGGCTGTGGCACAGGAGCCGAGCCTTTGCCAGAAGTGAGTGCTGTGGTCTCTTGAACATGGGGAGGACTGGTGGTGGGGCCACGCAGTAGACGTGGCACAGCATGTATCCACTGGACATCTGTGTAACCACCCATCAACCCATGGAGATGGCTAGACACTAGACTGTCAGCCTTGGTCATTCTCTTCAGACTTATTTCAATGGCATTGTGAGAAACGAAGGAGCTAACCTGTGCTATTCATAGACAATGCTAGGTTTGATTGTGGCTTCTCCAGGATGGAGTGGGAAATTACAAAGAAACACCTGCAAAGTGCCTAGTTGTGTGCCTACACTGGAAACACGGTTCATCTCTTCCTCATCCTTCTTACTGCTGGTTACTAGCTGGCCACGTGCCTTCTTTCCCCTTCAGCTGAGTCAGTGTCCACTGAGGAACAGTCAGTGCTTGGAAGAAACAGAGCCAGAGTGTGCAAATTGCCATCCCCCAGACGGACAGGAGTCAGCCACATCACAGCAGAGACCAGCAAAAGAAAGGCCAGAGGAAGCCATAGGACATACAAGGAAATCTTTACCGCCCTCGGGCCTATAGAACCATTCCACCACGGTGCTGGCCTCCACCTCCTCCCTCTTCATGCAGGAGATGCAGCGCAGCTTCATGGGGTTGCCTTGGACAGCCTCCGTCTCCGAGGGCACTTCCACACACACAGGGAAGCAGACGCTGACTGCAGAGTGGATGCATGACCAGGGGAGGGGGTATCGGGGAGAGGGATGGGAGAACAAGGAGAGAAGGAGGAAAGAGAGAAAGAAGAATTGTAAGACAAATCTGAAAACAGCATATCGATGTGTCTACGCCTTCACCTGCACTTCCCAAGTGTCCATGACGGGAACAGGTACGGAGGGAGACGCAGGAGATGCGGATGATCCAGACGCAGCCTGGAAGCAGTGGAGAGGCAGCAGGTGTAGACTCGACCCCTACCCTCAAAGTCTTAGAAGCAGGCAGGACACCAGGCACCAGGCACCAGAGCAGGCAGGCTTCCAGCCACCACCCATCTGCCGCATCACTCAACAGCCATTCACTGAGAGATACAAAGAGGAACAAAACACTATCCTGCCCCCCAGACACTTGTGATCTAGCTGGGAACACATGATCTTGCCATTAAGCTAGACCACCAGGTATGGCACTAGGATGCCATGCTCTAGTTCCCAGAGGGAGGACAGGTAGTCACTCTTGGTTGAGCTCAGAGAAAGGAAGAGAAGCATGATGTGACCTCCCAGATGGACAGATGGTTAGCATCCAGGTTTTGAACATGGCTGTTTCCTTTGTAGTGTGAGCTATTGAATGCTTTAAAGTTAGGAGTTGATGGAATAATTTCTATGTCTTTTGGAAGCCCTGGGCAATTCTGGCCTGGTGGAGGACGGAGCAGCAAGGCGGAAGCTGGTGCACTGACCCCCAGACTGAAGCAGTGTGCTGTGGGAGGAGTGGAGATTGACAAAGGTAAAAATCCAGAGGGATGGCAGAACGTGGGACACCTTGCCTGGCGCTTGGAGACGGAGACTCGCAGTCTGTCAGGTGGCAAACTCAAAATGAATCCAAAGTGGGACACAGCTGCCAAGCAAACAAGTGCCAGTGTGGGCTGCATTATCAGAGACACATGGGAAAGGGTGCTCTTCTGTACTGTTCAGAACAAATCTGGGCTGTTAGGCCCCGTGCAGGGTGCCATATTTTACAAAAGGAACTTGTTGGATGCGTGGAACCCAGAGTTGAGCAAGACAACGAGGGTCCCCGGGCAAATGTGACGATGTGGAGTGCTCAGCTCTGACATGGAATGTATCTGTGTCTAATCTGATTTTTTAATGCAACTTCAACAGTGCTAAGAAAAAGTGCAAGTTTGGAGTAATTTCTGATGGAAATGTCTGATGCCGTAACTATGCACAATGCAACTATTCACGCTATTTGATAAGCGTGCACATCTCATTTGTCTGGAAGATGCAAAGGTGAGATGGCCACCAAGCCCTTTTCTACTGGGGCTGTGAAATTGCTTCTGATGCTACTTTCACATGAGTTAAGAATGGAAGTCCCGGGCCCGGTGGCGTGGCCTAGTGGCTAAAGTCCTAGCCTTGAACACACCGGGATCCCAAATGGGCACAGGTTCTAATTCCAATGGCCCTGCTTCCCATCCAGCTCCCTGCCTGTGGCCTGGGAAAGCAGTCGAGGACAGCCCAATGCTTTGGACCCTGCACCCACATGGAACACCCAGAAGAAGCTTCTGGCTCCTAGCTTTGGATTGGCTCAGCTCCAGCTTGGGGAGTGAACCATTAGACGAAAGATCTTCCTCTCCATCTCTCCTCCTCTCTGTACATCTGCCTTTACAATAAAAATAAAATTTTTTTTTAAAAGAGAAAAAGGCAAAGGATCTTTTTCTAAAAACTGAGGAGGAGCTGGTGTTTAGGGTGTAGCGGCTTAAACCACCTGCATTGCTGACATCTCAGAGTGCCAGTTTGAGTCCTGGCCACTCCACTTTCAATCCATCTTGTTGCTGGTCTTTCTGGGAAGACAGCAGAAGATGACCCAGCTATCTGGGTCTCTTGCACTCCTGGGGGAGGCCAGGTTGGAATTTCTGCCTCCTGGTGTCAGCCTGGCCCAAACCTGGCTGTTGTAGCCATTTAGGGAGAGAACCAGCAGACGGACAATTTCTCAGTCTGTCTTTCAAATAAATAAACATTTTTTTTTTAACAGAGAAATGCTTTATTTAGACCAGATTGGTGTAAATTAATTTTGAATCAAAGAATTAAATAATGTGTTTGACTAGAAGGAGACACATTTCATTTTTAAACACAGAGTTAAAACCAGAATCCTATAATTAACTTAAAGTTGAAAAAACAAAAGTAAAGGCCTGGCGCAACAGCCCAGTGGCTAAATCCTTGCCTTGCGACTGCCGGAATCCCATATTAGTGCTGATTCGTGAACTAGCTGCACCATTTCCCTTCCAGTTCCCTGCCTGTGGCTTGGAAAAGCAGTCAAGGACAGCCCAAAGCCTTGGGACCCTATGCTCATCTGGGACATCCCAAAGAAGCTCCTGGCTTCAGATTGGCTCAGCTCTCGCCATTGTGGCCACTTGGGGAGTGAACCAGCAGACAGAGGATCTTTTGCTCTGTCTCGCCTCCTCTCTGTGTATCTGCCTTTCCAATAAAAATAAAGAAGTGTTTTTTTAAAAAAGCAAAATATTGTTGTTTTTTAAATCCTCAAGAAATTCAAAGCAGTCTTATCTGGCCATCTGCAGGAGGCTCTCCTGCTTTTGCATATAGACATCATTGCATGGACAGAGGGTCCACATTGGGACAAGCGATCAGACACATCTCCAGCAGGTACTGAGTTTGAAGTCTTGTTCATAGACCTACATTTTTTGAAAGGAGGTATAGTTTGTGCAAAGGTTTGCGAGTAGACAGAGGGGCAAGGGTATGCAGCCGTGACATTCGTCGGGGATGAGAGATGGTAAAGATGAGACACTTGGTTGGTGACCTCAGAAGCAGAATAGAAGTGCTGAGAAACTTCCAAGAACAGAGGCTGTGTGGAGGTGGTTCACTGCTTGAAGAAATGGGTTCACTCTATGACATCACTTCTCCAAGAGTCAAGTTTTCATGAACAAAATGCTGAAAATGTGTCATTAGAACTCTACATATTAACTTATGTAAATGTTGCTTAGGAATGCCATTTTATACTTCATGTATTTGACAAGAATGTCAAGTAGCAGGCATTGTTCTAGGCGCTAGGGACACAACAAGAACCAAACCATCCCTGTTCTCAGGGAGCTCACATTCGGGGTGTGTGCAGGGGTGTGTCTGGGAGGGGAGCAAAATGAGAAAAATTAGGAAGAGTAAAATGGAGGAGAGGGAAGGCACCTGAAGCCACGGGGGTGGTCCCAGTGAGACAATAACACGGAGCAGCAAATGGCGAGGCTCCCAAGAGTGTTCCTATTATACTCAAAGGTCAAGAAAGAACCCATTGGTTCAACTGGCTAATCCTCTGCCTGCAAGTGTCAGCATCCCATGTGGACACGTTTGTGTCCCTGCTGCTCCACTTTCCATCCAGCTCCCTACTTGTGGTCTGGGAAAGAAGTGGAGGATGGCCCAAAGCCTTGGGACCCTGTATCCACATGGGAGATCCAGAAAAGATGGTTGGCTCCAGATCGCCTCAACTCCAGGATTTGTGGTCATTTGGGGAGTGAATCAGCAGATGGAAGATCTTTCTCTTTGCCTCTCCTTCTCTATAAATCTGCCTTTCTGAAAATGAATGAATCAATCTTTAAAAAAAAGAGAGAGAGAGAAAAGAAGGAAGAAAGGGAGGGAGAGAGAGAAAGAAAGAGAAAGAAAAGAAAAAGAAAGAAAGAAAGAATGAAAGAAAGAAAGAAAGAAAGACCCTCTGTGTGAAACAGAGTAAACCCGTGAGGACAGAAAGGAACAAGCGGAGAAGGTGTGCAGGCAGGCACAGGCATGGCAGATCTTGCAGGCTACAGTTTGGATGGAACTTTCACTTCTGCTTAGTATGATATGAGGAAGCATCACATGATGTGATTTTAACAGAATTCCATGATGTGTCCACGGTGTTGAAAATCAACTGGAGAGGTGAAGGGGGACAAGAGTGGGTGCTGAGGGCCCGGCGTGATAGGCTAAGGCTTAAAGTCCTCGCCTTGAATGCGCCAGGATCCCACATGCTGGTTGTAATCCCAGTGGCCCCGCTTCCCATCCAGCTCCCTGCTTGTGGCCTGGGAAAGCCGTTGAGGACAGCCCAAAGCCTTGGGACCCTGTACCCATGTGGGAGACCCGGAGGAACCTCCTGGCTCCTGGATTCAGATCGCCTCATCTCTGGCTGTTGTGGCCGCTTGGGGAGTGAATCATCAGGTGGAAGATCTTTCTTTCTTTTCTCTATATATATCTGATGTTTCAGTAAGAATAAATAAATCTTAAAAAAAAAAAAGAGTGGGTGCTGAGAGACCAGGCTGGTGCAGTGAATCGGTCAGGCAGTGAAGATGATGTGGGACTGCGGGGGTGAACAAGGGAATCGTTTGTTAGACTAACCTCCCTAGGCAAGAGGTGATGTGCTCTTGGTGCACGCAGATGGGACGTACGGGGGAGATGGGATGTGTGTGGTCATGATGAAAATCTGTCTTCCACGGCACCATCATCTAGCGGGTCACCCAGGAGCAAGCTCGCTGCTTCCCCATTCCTGCAAAATGACCACAGGGCCCTCTGCTTCCTTGGTCTCTGCAATATGAAGGTGAAGTCTGCTTCTCTACTCTGCAGTCTCCAACCCAACACTGCCTTCCCTCCTCTGAGACCCTCAAGGTATCCAAGAGAAGGTTGTGCGCATGGCAGAAAGCTACAATGCTGACTGTAAATGAGAAGTTCCTGGCACTAACATTTGTCAATATATTTCAATCTGTATAGTAATTATGAAGGAACATGTGAGAATAATACAAGACAATTGTATTTTATATATTGTATTTGGGGGCAATTTTTTTTTGAAATCCATATATAGTTTTCTCATAATATACATTTTCCATGAACTTTGTGAAAAGCCCTCATATATATGAATTTCAAAAATTTTGCACCCAAATAAACTTACCTTCCAATTGCATTTTCCACAGAACTTCTTAGAACTTCAGACTGTACCAACTCCTCTACAGACCCTGAATAGTCTTTTCTTTCCATGCTTCCAAATTACTCCCGCTGAGCTTGCTCTGGAATACTTTCCTTTGTCCTAATATAAGGAAGGCTGTGTTCAGAATGTAAATAATTTCCAAAAGGGCACCATAATGAAGTTATTTTTAGATGTGAACATTTTGAAATGGCTTGGGCAATCCAATTAGGTGGTCACTCAGTCGGGCCTTGAAGGAACAGAATCAGCACAAGGCGATCTGGAGAGTGGAGGGGAACATTCCCCTACATAAGGGACAGCTGGGAGGCCATGCCTGGAGAGGACAAGCAGAGGAGGAACTAGACCTGAAGAGAGTATGCGATCCTTGTAAAGGTGAGAGAGTGAGGGCTGAAAAGAGGAGCTCAGGAAGCCAATGGGACAGCTGGTGCGCCCTGCAAACCACAGAGGTGCTGGAAGAAAGCCTGGAAGACTGAAATAAGAACATAGGAGTTCTCAGGCAAATTCCTTCTCTAAGCTCATTTTCTTAAATTGGAATGATTGACATGGCAAAGACTTGGCAGGACGGCCCAACGAAGTAAAGGATTGACAATTGCTTTGTAAGCTGTGAAGCGTCAGGCAAGCATAGGTTCTAAAATTATTATTACATGCTTTCATAAAGGAAATAAGGCATTTTCTCAAATCCACACAGGAAATAAGTGGAGGGAGCTTCCATCCATTCAGACCTCATGTGAAAAATCAGTGTGGGGCAGACAGAACATCTAAGTGAAGCATGCTCTGAAACTGGAACCACACGTAAACAAAATAAAATCACATCTGTGAGATGAGGCCCTTTTTCTTTCACTCGACAACCAAGCATCCTGCACCATCCCATTTCCCCTTCTGCAGGTCGTCAGTTTGATGAGCTAACATTCAACTTAAACAGAGCTGGGAGTGAGCACAGAGCAGTGCACTTATTCCACATTTGTTTTTTTTTTTTTGGGGGGGGTGGGCATAAGGCTGGAAATGCTGTCACTTCTAGCAGTTTTCTGCAAACATAGCCTTACGCTTTACTTGTGCAGCCAAAGAGATATTAGATAGGATTCATACAAGGCACCACTATGGCAGAGTTGAGACTCACAAGTCCTGGCCAAAAGATTCTTGGATGATAACACGCCCTGATCCTCCACTGGAACCCTAAAAATCAGAGTAGGGGGAGTGGGAAGAGGGCCTCCTTAGAGTTTCACCCCAAGCTGTCTTTACTTCAGCTTTGTCCACACTCTCTCCTATCCAGTCAGATTAACCGTTCCTGAGCCTCCCACCCTCAGCCTTTCCCCTGAGAAAGCCATGTCCCCAGCTGTTCCTCTGGGAACACTTCAGTCCTGATCCTTAAGGCAGGTGAGATCACTGGCAACCTATTATGTGCTCTGTCTCCAGGCCTGGGGTACCCTCCTGGGGAAGGATGGCTGTGCTTCTGACCCTGGGGATGCTGTTGCTTTCTTCCTCATCCTTCCTAGCCTACCGCAGCAGGCATTTTTTCCCCCCAGCAGGAAGCTTGGCCCTGGTAACACATGAACTCCAGATAATGCTGGCAGCTACAGTTAGTCCTGGAGGCCTGACAAAGTAATACTACAGCAGAGAGGCCATTCCCACCAGCATGTCTCCCTGCACAGGCAGGATGAGCATCCATTCTACCAGCCGCAGAAGCATAATCCCACATGCACACCTCCAGGAAAGCAGGTGGACATGACCACATCCTCCAGTCGTGTTTACCGATTTTAGCATGGAGGAAGGCAGCTAAAATCAAGTCAAGCAACCTATCCGTTCATGGGCGCCTACACTTGCTCAGACGATCTAATAATCAGACAGCCAATGCAGAGAAGCCCAGAACCCCTCTCCCACCACCACACTCCTCACAAGCCGCTCACCAGCTCATTCAGATGTGCATTAGAACATGCTTAGACATATGTCAGCGCATACATTAGATGCTGAGACACACACGACACAGAGGAAAACCCTGTTTCCGTGATACATTCGGGCTCTTAAGTTCCTTCTATGCATTCAGGCACCCAGCTTGTGCCCACCCCGACACCACTCTGCATGGGCAAAGTATAAACCCCCGTCCCTGCAGGAAGAAGGTCACCTCTGGCGCACAGCTGACAAACCAAAGTCCATTCACCCCTGGAGGCAAAAAATCCCAGCTTCCCAAATACCCACAGCATCTTCATTGCACGTGTTTATGTCAGAAAAAAAAAACAGATGCATTTCCTGGTTGCCAATTAATGTAATACATAAATGGCAAATGGCTGGAGTCCACTGCCTCCTATTCCCTAGGAAAATCGAACGAATGGGTCAATAGCTAAATTATCTCCACCCTCAGAATGCATGCATCCAGCTTTTATTTTATTTTTAATATGGTGGCAGGCTTTGAAGAATTCAGGGAGCTTGCCCAGGAGTCCTGACAGCTCATTGAGAAATGAAATGTAAACTGTTAGTTGTTTTTTAAATTCTGTTTTGTCTGTTTTTAGATAGAAACGAACGTGACTACATTCCGGTTCAGCAAGGGGAAAGGGTGGGGGCAGTCTTTGGAATGAGCAGGATACTGGGAGAGAGGGAAGGAACACGAAAGGGGGATTAGAGAATGAAGCCTACGGGCAGTGGGGAGGCGCCTTTCCAAGCTGCGAATCCCCATTCTCATGGAAGCCCCAGAACCTCCATAACTGGCACACAGAGCGAGGCCAGCCAGAGCTCCTTCTTGCCACCAACATCAGCAAGTGTCCTGTTTGTTAGCATTCTCACTGCCATCCACGTCTCGCATGGCGGGGTGCTGGTACTTACCCCCGTAGATGAGCAAGAGGGAAGCCAGGACACACGATCTGTCGAAGGCAGGCATCTTTTTCTGCAGGTAGCTTCGGGGCTAAACGGAGAGATTTCCTCGGTCAGGCACTGAGCCCTGTGCTTCTTTCGAGGAAACCCTCGGGGACGAAATGCTCCCAAGAGGGTGACTTTCTGGCTGCTAGGTCTCGGCTTGGATGCGACCCTCGCCGACCACCCCCGTTCCGGGCAGCGGCCCAGCAGCTCGGCGCGCCTGCCCTGGGGCCGGTGGCTGGGATCGCGCTCAGCACCACGGACAGGGGCCTCCCCGCCCACCCCGGAACTCGGGATTCCGGTCAGTCTCTGGCCTTTCCAGTCTGCACCCGGGGGCAAGCTCAGCAGGGCAGGGAGTGGCGCGCCGGGCCCTGGGAGGCGGCGCTGTGGAGGGGGTCCGTGGCGATTCACCTCTCGCTGCCCCTAGACACTGCTGCTCTCCGGCTTCATCCGCCCTGCCCCGCGTCTCTGGCTGGGCGTGTCCCCAACTCTCGAAGCCAAGGGGGGGGGGGGGATGCCCGTCTAGGCTACAGACTCAGACCCGCTCCGGGCTGGTCCACACCCGCCCCTCGGCTCCCCGAGGAGTAGCCGAGGGTCCCCTCCACCCCTCCGAGAAGAAGGCGGAAGCGCCGGAGCGGCTGGCGATCTCGGAGGCGGTGGTGGGTGCAGGAGGTAGCCCCTTCCCCGAGCTCGCCCCCGGAGCGCACGAGACCCCGACCCTGGGTGGCCCAGGGCTTCAGCCTCTCTGCAGCCGGGGGCCGGGCGTGCTCGGTCGGCCTTGACTTGCGCAGGCGGGTCTCCGCCCCACCGCCACCACGGACCCTCCCCCTGGTGCACACACACTCCCCACCCCCAGCCCGGCGTGCCCCTCCCAGGGCGGCGCGCCACGCGGGCCGGGGGCGGAGCCGGAGCCGGGGCCGCGCAAACACCTCCAGCCGCCGTGCGCCCTGGGCTGGCCAGCCGGCTGGTGGTCCCCCGGCCTCCCTCTCGCGCCTGCACCGCGGTCTGGAGCTCCCGAGCGCCTCCTGCCACCAGGCGCACCCTGCGGGCGACCCCACAGGCGCTCCCGCGCTGACATGCCTGTGTTGGTCTCCGGGAAGAGGAGGGCCGAGGCTGTTGGAGGCAGTGATGTCATCTGCCATGTACCCCAGACATGGCTCGCGGCGTCACTCCCCTGAACCTGTCTCTTCCAGTTTCCCTCTCTAGCCTTGATTAATTGGTGGCAGACGCGGCCGAACGCAGAAAAAAAAAAAAAAAAAAATCCTTGCTTAGGGCGAGTGGGGTAGTGCTGAGGCGCACCTGTTTCCGCCCGCACTCTCACTCAGAGAGAGAATGATCCGACGGTTAGTGCCAAGCTTGGTGCTGTGGGCTGGATTCAGAGGACTCATGTCCCCCTCCCTGGTTCTTTGCAGTCCTCTTTTTTGCTCTAATCTGTTTGTTATTTGTTTATTATTTTAATCTGATAGGTTTGTGGCTTGGCCTCCTCCAATTATTAGCCATTCCTCAGTGCTAGCAGCTGTTGGCGAGGCCCTGCCCCAGCTCTGGAAGGGAAACCTGAACCTTTCAATTCAGTTATAAACTCAGATTGACATAGCAGATCAGGAATGCCGGGGACTGGCGTGAAAGATTAATACAAGAGCCTCGTTTCCCAGTCTCTCTGTTCTCTTTCCAAGCGCTGCTAAAACGACCGGCAGAGGAACAGCTGACGGTAAGTGAACCGTGCACAGGAAACACTGCCTCCTCACAAGTCACAGAGCAACTGGGTGTCCCTATAGGATCCCTGCCCTGGATGCTGTGTGAGGACCAGTCCATGCATTGCTCGGTGCTTGGATGGAAAGTTGAAATCGACTTCTGGCCCAACACAGGAGCTTCCCCAAGAACGTACTGTTGAATGAGAACTCCTTTCGAGTTGGCAGAGCTTCTCTCTTCTCACTTGATTTCTGTACCCCTCCTTCCTTCTCCCTAGACTCTGCTGAGCGGCCCTGATATCCTTCTGCCAGGCCCCATCTGGAGGGTGTTTTGGCTGAGGCTCAGCTTACCAAGTTCCTTAGCGAAGCCTAGAAATTTCCAACCTTTAGACAGTCTGGTCACTTTCTCAGGACTTGTAGTTTGCTAATATGATTCTCCAAGTGACAGACAAAGGGACAGATGTCCTATGTGTGGTCTGACCAGCACGAGTCCAGCAGAATTATGATGCTTGCTTTAAGTGGGTGCATCTTCAAAACGATTTACAGCCACACGTAAATCATTAAAAACCATAAGTGTTTCTCACTCAATCTGTTGAAGAACCACTTTGTTTAAATGAGCTGGGAATTTTGGAAATTTTATTATGAAACTTTGGGATTGCTCTTAAAATGTGTTAGTTGATTCATCGAACATTCATCGATTTAATCTTACATCATCTCTTAGCAATCACTTGATCCAAATACAGTTTTTTTTTCCTTTTAAATTTTTGTTATTTAAAAGAGAGAGAGAGAGAAATCCTCCATCCTCTGGTTCACTCCCTAAATGGCTGCTATGGCCAGAGCTGGGCTGGGCTGAAGCTGGGCAGTAGCTTCCACCTGTTCTCCCATATGATTCAGGGACCCAAAACCTCAGGCACCCTCTGCAGTTTTCCCAGGCCTTTAGCAGCAAGCTGGACCAGAAGTGAAACAGCCGGAAAACCAACCAGGGCCCATATGGGATGTCAGCACCACAAAGAATTAGCTTGTCACACCACCTTGCCAGGCCCAAACATAGATTTTTTAAAATCAATCCGTTTATTGGAGGAAAGAGAAAAGCATTCGCAGCCCAACTGTTTCCCAAATACCTGCAACATTCAAGGCTGCTCCAGGCCAAAGCCAAGCACTATAAACTCTATGTAGGTCTCCCACACGCGGGCAGGGACACAGTTTGCTGTGGAGCCCTGGTTTGCTGCCTTCCAAGGTACGCATTAGCAGGAAGCTTCAATATAGAGTAGAGGAAGAAAATAACAACAGAGGGATGCTGTGGCAGGCTGCTAGAGCCCTCACTGTAGCTTGACATGAGCTATTGTTTTCAAGTCTTTGATCAACTTCTCATGTTGCTAGGAAGTGAATTTTCAGTTTTTGGACTAGTGTTAAAAGATTTATTTATTTCAAAGAGCAACAGAAAGAGAATGAGACAGAGAGAAGGCACTCTTTTCTCAGCTGGTTCGTTCCCTAACTGTACAAAAGCAGCAAGTGTTGGGTTCGGCCAAAGCCAGGATCCAGGAAATCCACCCAGGCCTCCCACATGGCGGCAGGGCCCAAGGACCTGCACCGTTGCTGCTGCTCTCCCAGACACATTAGCAGGGAGTTATCAGAAGTGAAGCAGCTGAGACTGAAGCTGATGGGGAATGGCAGAGTTGCAAGCAGCTTCTTAGCTTGCATTGACTTAAACACATGAACGAGTTAACTTTATCATTACAAATGCTAAGTCATGAGCACTAAAACACGTCTCATTTCCATAGATCCACATATAACTTGGCACATTCTGAAATTTGAAAATATAAAACATATGCAAGAGGAATTAGATTCACAATAATACACAGAAAAGAAATAAGATATTTATATATAGGTATATAATTTATAGATACGTGAAAGCAAATTTTCAGTATTATATTTTACACTATTCCAAAGTAGAATGAATTATTCTTGTTCTGTTTAAATGGATATTATCCAAAGAAGGACTGGAATGTTCAAGGGGAAAAATCCTTCTGTAAGTCAGAAACTTGGAATAGTTTGTGTTAGTTTGAGACTCTGGTTCTAGGGAGAGTCTCAGCAGGCCTGAGACATTTAGGAGGAATGAACTGTTTTTCAGTCTGATAATTCTGTCAACTACTGCCCCAACCACCCTGGCAGGGATTGGAGTCACTGTTTACTCACTTGCTTTCTCTTTTGTCTTTGCTTTTTGTTTTCCTCCTTTCCCCCCTCCCTCATTCCTTGCCTCCTTCGCCTCCTTCCTTCTCTTTTCTTTTGTTTTCTTCTTCTTCTTCCTTCTTCCCTCCTCTTCCTCCTCCTCCTCCTTCTCTATTTATTTAAAGGCAGAGTTACAGTGAGAGAAAACACACACTCTGCAAGTGACCTCTGTGGCCGGAGCTGGGCCAGACTGAAGGAAGGAGCTGGGAACTCCGCCCAGGTCTCCCAGTTGGATACAGGGGCCCAGCCTGGAACTGGCACCTACATGGGACGCCAGCATCACAGGCAGCAGCTTTAAAAAAATGCTTAAGGCACCCTTTCCTTATCTGTCATTTTGATTGATTTTGATCCTTTCTTGCTGCCTATTTATTTATTTATTTTGCATCTTCGAGTTTGATGACCAATCTCACTTTGAGTTGATTGGTGAGACCATAAGTTCTGGGCTCTAGGTGGCTGACAGAGCAATCCTTGTATTCTGTAAGGGCATGCCCAGCTGGCCTTCAGTGTCCTCAGGCAACTGGGGAGTTGGTTGCAGGCTCTCTCACCCCACACCCAAGGATATCAGAATCCTGAGATACTCAATCTTTATATAAAATTGCATAATTGTGTATCACCCTTGCACATTTTCCTGTATCTTCAGATCACCTCTAGCTACTGTTGTTGTGTAATACAAAGTTAATTCTATCTAAATAATTGTTATACTATATTGCATTGAGTGTAAAGACAGGAAGAAAAGTCTGAGCCCAGCACCGTGGCTCAACAGGCTGATCCTCCACCTTTAAGCACTGGCATCCCATATGGGTATTGATTCATGTTCTGGCTGTTCCACTTCAGATCCTGCTCCTTGCTTATGGCCTGGGAAAGCAACGGAGGATGACCCAAGTTCTTGGGAAACTGCATCCATGTGGGAGACTTGGAAAAAGCTTCTGGATCCTGGCTTTAGATTGGCTCACCTCTGGCCATTGTAGCCATTTGGGGAGTGAACCAGCAGATGAAAGATCTTTCTTTTTCTATTTCTCCTCTCTGCAAATCTGTGTTTCAAATAAAAAGAAGTAAATGTGCTTTAAAAAAAGAAGAAAAGTGTGTACTTGGTCAGCATACATACCATATATATGTGCATATATGTATAATTCATATATATATTATACGTATTATATATATAATAACATGTATATATTATCCCTCACTGATGGAATTATGGATGCAGAACTTTTGAATCCAGGGGGC